ATATAGGGAGCCCTGTTGGTGTAGTGGTTGGCTTTCCTTTTAAACGCACCAAATGTTGTTGACGGCACTAGTTGGTTTAGTGGCTGGGTTTGCCCGCCAAAAGTTGTTGACTTAGCAGGGGGTCAGAAAACGGACAGCTCGGCGTTTGTAGGTCTGTCTTTTTCTTCTTTGCATTCCCGGACTTCAGCACAGGGGGCCATGAGGAGGTCGCCTAGATACCAACAAGGGCTTTTTTCATGTGGAGAAACACCCGGATTTTGTTTTTTTGTTTTTGTGAGGGTGCCTTGGGTGCTTTTAAGGTGGGAAACAACAGGAGCAACCGCCATCAAGGTTTCACCTCACATACAATCAGTTCACCAGGTTTGCTGAAGCTGGTTCTTTGTTCAATCTACTAAGCAAGTAGGTTATAGCAGGGTTGTTGGGAGAACCAAGGCTTGGCTGCTGAATCTACGAAGCAAGTAGCTTGTAACAGGGTAAGTGGGAGAACAAGGCTTGTTTGTTCAATCTACTAAGCAAGTAGCCTGTAACAGGGTTGTTGGGAGAACAAGGCTTGGCTGTTCAATCTACGAAGCAAGTAGTTTGTAGCAGGGTTCTTGGGAGAACAAGGCTTGGCTGTTCGATGTACTAAGCAAGTAGCTTGTAGCAGGGTTGTTAGAATCTGCGAAGCAAGTCTGGGCTGTTTAATCTACTACGCAAGTAGGTTGCAAAAGGGTTGTTGGGAGAACAAGTTTTGGCTGTTCAATCTACTAAGCAAGTAGCTTGTAGCAGGGTAGTTGGGAGAACAAGGCTTGGCTGTTCAATCTACGAAGCAAGTAGCTTGTAACAGGGCTGTTGGGAGATCAAGGCTTGGCTGTTTCATCTACTACGCAAGTTGCCTGCAACAGAATTGTGGGAGAACAAGGCTTGGCTGTTTAATCTACGAAGCAAGTAGCTTGTAACAGGGTTGTTGGGAGAACAAGGCTTGGCTGTTAAATCTACTAAGCAAGTAGCCTGCAACAGAATTGTGGGAGAACAAGGCTGGGCTGTTTTATCTACGAAGCAAGTAGCTTGTAACAGGGTTGCTGGGAGAACAAGGCTTGGCTGTTCAATCTACGAAGCAAGTAGCTTGCAACAGGGTTGTTAGCAGAACAAGGCTTGGCAGTTCGGTCTACTAAGCAAGTAGCTCGTAACAGGTAGCTGGGAGAACAAGGCTTGGCTGTTTCATCTACTAAGCGAGTAGCTTGTAGCAGGGTTGTTGGGAGAACAAGGCTTGGCTGTTCGATCAACGAAGCACGTGGCTTGTAACATGGTTTTTGGGAGAACAAGTTTTGGCTGTTCAATCTACTAAGCAAGTAGCTTTTAACGGGGTTGTTGGGAGAGCAAGGCTTGGCTGTTCCATCTACTAAGCAAGTTGCTTGTATCAGGGTTGTTAGAATCTCCGAAGCAAGTCTGGGCTGTTTAATCTACTAAGCAAGTAGCTTGTAACAGGGTTGTTGGAAGAACAAGTTTTGGCTCTTCAATCTACTAAGCAAGTAGCTTGTAGCAGGGTAGTTGGGAGAACAAGGCTTGGCTGTTCAATCTACTAAGCAAGTAGCTTGTAACAGGGCTGTTGGGAGATCAAGGCTTGGCTGTTAAATCTACTACGCAAGTAGCCTGCAACAGAATTGTGGGAGAACAAGGCTTGGCTGTTTAATCTACGAAGCAAGTAGCTTGTAACAGGGTTGTTGGGAGAACAAGGCTTGGCTGTTCAATCTACGAAGCAAGTAGCTTGCAACAGGGTTGTTAGGAGAACAAGTCTCGGCTGTTCGGTCTACTAAGCAAATAGCTCGTAACAGGTAGCTGGGAGAACAAGTCTTGGCTGTTTCATCTACTTAGCGAGTAGCTTGTAGCAGGGTTGTTGGGAGAACAAGGCTAGGCTGTTCGATCAACGAAGCACGTGGCTTGTAACATGGTTTTTGGGAGGACAAGGCTTGGCTGTTGAGTCTACGAAGCAAGTAGCCTGTAGTAGGGTTGTTCAAAGAACAGGGCTTGGCCGTTCGATCTACTAAGCACCTAGCTTGTAACAGGGTTGTTAGAATCTAGGAAGCAAGTAGCTTGTAACAGGGTTGTTGGGAAAACGTTGGGAGAACAAGTCTTGGCTGTTCAATCTACTAAGCAACTCGCTTGTAACAAATTGGTTGGGAGAGCAAGTTTTGGCTGTTCAATCTACAATGCAAGTAGCTTCTAACAGGGTTGTTAGAATCTACGAAGCAAGTATCTTGTAGCAGGGTAGTTGGGAGAACAAGGCTTGGCTGTTCAATCTACTAAGCAAGCAGCTTGTAACAGGGCTGTTGGGAGATCAAGGCTTGGCTGTTAAATCTACTACGCAAGTAGCCTGCAACAGAATTGTGGGAGAACAAGGCTTGGCTGTTTAATCTACGAAGCAAGTAGCCTCTAACAGGGTTGTTGGGAGAACAAGGCTTGGCGGTTCAATCTACTAAGCAAGTAGCCTGTAGCAGAGTTGTTCGGAGAACAAAACTTGGCTGTTCGTAGCTTGTAACAGGGTTGTTGGGAGAACAAAACTTGGCTGTTCGATCTACTTTGCAAGTAGCTTGTAACAGGGTTGTTGGGAGAACAATAACTCGGCTGTTCAATCTACTAAGCAAGTAGCTTGTGTTTGGAGAACAAGGCTTGGCTGTTGAATCTACTGAGCAAGTAACAAAACTTGGCTGTTGAATGTACTAAGCAAGTAGCTTGTACAGGGTTGTTGGGAGACTAAGTCTTGGCTGGTCAATCTGCTGAGCAAGTAGCTTGTAACAGGCTTGTTGGGAGAACAAGTCCTGGCCGAGTTGTTTTGCCATGGTTATCGCCAGCTTACCTGACATGGCCATGGGGCACAACACCTATGGCTCCATTTTGAGCTGGATGAACATCCATTTGCCAAGGTGATGTTCACCCGGGGTACCAGAGTTTGACCCACAGCCACGTAGTCCAAGCGGAGCTGCGAAGCCGAGGTCTTTTGCGGCTACTTTTTCCTGGAGCTTCTGATTCGCTTCGGCGCCTTCGAGCGAAAGTGCCCGGGGCCCTTGGGGGGGTATTAGACCTGTATTGGGTCTCGAAGATGCTGGGAGCCCGACAATCGGAAAATCTTAACTTGACGGTTGTTGGGTCACTTTTTTTAAAAGTTTATTTAATGTTACATGCGTGTTTTAAGGTTTGAGCTCATGTTACACGGTTTTTAGGTGTTTGGGTTCATGTTGGATGTGTTTGATGTGTTTGGACTCTGTTCATTGTTAGTAGGGGTTGCAAGAAAGACAGGCAGTCTTTCGATACCATACCAAGGGTTGGAAAGTCAATCAATCCCTTTGTGAACTGAATAGCCCTCTACGGCTTTCTTTGGGGACCTGCTTTTTTTTCCGGGTTTCCTTCCATAGGTCTGAGGCTGGGTAAAGTCCCTCATCTTCTTGGCTTACATACGGTCAAAACTGGAGTAGCTAGCGCAATCGTGCTGTGTTTCGGATTTTTTACGTGTGTTTTTGGGTTTCCTGATTCTTTTTTGGTGTATCCATTGTTGCCCATCGGCCTCCTAAAAGCGCATCATGACACCCATGACCCGTTCTGTGCATTGCGGCTGTTTTGGGGGATTGGGGCGGGCAAGATGCGCCCCTTGAGTAGGAACAACATCCATCGGCAAAAAATGTAGGGCTTGTCTGACAAATTCTTGTTCAACAAAATAGATGCGTCGTTTGTGGGCTGCAACTTGCCAAGGGCTTGCCTCCAAGATGGTCAACCCTCAAAATGCTTGCTTTCTTTTTGGCTTGTCCTTGTAAGCCGATTCCCCCCAAAGGACGCAACTGGGGTCGAGCCGTTTCGGGTCAATTCATTTGAGCGTCGAATTCCTCGGCTTTGAGACGGAGTTCGCATCGCGTTCAGTTCCGGGGCGTGAGATGCGCGAGCCATTCCTACAAATTCAACGGGGTGGGATGGGTGAGGGTCCCTCTTCGCATCAACCCTCCCATAAATGACGCAAGGAACCACAAGAGGAAAACCCTGAGAATTCGGCACCTGAAGAGTCCACCTTTTGGGGGGCTCCAATAGGGATTTGGATGTTTGTCGTTAGGGACACCCCCCCAAAACAAAAACGGTGTTTTGCTTGTTGCTTTCCCTTGAGCCCAGCACAACACACACAGACAGACACGCAGACCCACAGAACGCAGACACACTGGTTGGCAGGGAGGCCACTGGATAGCTCCGTCCAAGGCGATGCCTTCAGGGACTTGTGCTCGGCTCAGATCTCCGAGGGTCGGACTTGGATGGCTTTCCAAACGGGTGGCTCGTCTTCTTTTGAGCCTTGGTGCCTTGGTTTGTGGCAAAGAAGGAAATCACAAAAGGCCAACCACCACTACATGTTGTTTCCTTCCACATGACACGCCCAAAGCAATTTTATGGTCAAGGGTATGTAAACCGGGGTGAGCAGGGAAAGGTTTGCGAGGCTTTGTGAAGTTTTGAGGAAGAAATGATTAGGTATTAGACTGGACATGACACTTGATTCTCTGTATGCCCCAGATGTGGCCAAGATTTAGTCCAAGGGTTGACATTAGTAGCAGCTCATTTGGACTCCTCCCTGCTTGGAGAGGATCTCATATTCGGCGTGTCCAAAAGTTGCTAGGTGTTTCTTTTTCCAACAGCGAACAGCAGCTTTTTCGGGGGCTTTTGGTTTGGAAAGGAGGATCCCTGGATTTGAGGAAATCACCCTCACCCAGTGCTTCCCAACTCAGCAACTACCTCTAAGTATAGCAAACAATATGAGAGCTCGGTCGCTGAACAAGAGCAAAGGATCATCTTGCACTACAAAGGGCTGAAGAAGTCAGTCAAAAGTGCCGTGCACAAGAACAAACGAGGCTTGGTGACCTACTCGTCAGACAATGGTACTGAGTCGGTGAGTCTGGCATTGTGGCTGTTCCCACCTGCATTTCGAGGCAAACCTGCATTCAGAGGCTATGCAGCGAATTTGGAGGCATGCACTAAAAAGAAATCTCCTGGGTTCACTGCTATCGAGGGAGAAGTTGCATTCAATGCAGGGATAGGAGCAAGCCTTCCTTGGAGCGTGGCACCTGCGGTTTGGGTCTTCAAGAAGGAGTCAGATGCAAAGAAGGCTGCACAAGCTGAATCTGGAAAAAGGGGCTACAAGATAGGTGAAGTCAGTGTCCATTCTCTCAGCTCCAATGGCAAAATGGACGACATAGCCAATGCTGCCCTGAAATATGCAAAGGACCGCGTTGAATCAGGTGGGAGGAACTGCCAGAGCATCGGCAACTTGCGTCGCTTCAAAGACTCAGTGAAAGTTGCAAAGTTGGTGAGCCGAGCGTCACTGGTGGTACACAAGACAATCGTGTATCCGGGTGAGTGATCACTCTGATAGGATTAAGAACAACGACAGCAAAGCAGTGCCACCGGGCAAATAGACAGACATGATCCAAGAACTCAGCCACTATAGTAGACAATTTTGGTATGTTTACGTTGCCTGCAAGCAATGGGTTGGATACAGTTGGTTATAAGCAGGGTGAGGGGTTGACAGGTTGACTTAGAGCCCGGTTGAACATCCAAAGTTCGCAGTCCTTGTAGACAACCGGAGTGTTTCGTTTGCCAGTTTCCACTTTCAGCGTCTGGGATGTGGGGAATCCCCGTGTGATGTGCATGGCCGTGAATGGGAAGCAACCGCCAAATGACATCAAATGATCAAATGGCACCACGGAAAGGATGTGCGTGTTTTTTCTCGCCTTTTGGTAGAGATTCAAACGTAATCCAAAAGAGTAGCAGACACTTAGGGACCACTGTTTTGAGCCCCCCCCCATTTAGGGCTGTTCGCAATACAAAGGGACCACTTTTCACATACAATCCTCCCTAGGGGGTTGACTCCCAACCTTGTTGCAAATTTGAATTATTTGGTCCCACTTGATTCTTTTGAGCCAGGCTCCCCCAAATTGGGTTTCCAAATGGTGGACAGCACCCCCTTTTCGTACTTGCGAAAACAACAGAATGCCAAGCATTTCAGAAAACCAATTCCTTTACCCCCCCCCCCTCCGAATTCTTTTACTGCTTGTCCCCAACAGCGGCAGCTGTGGGGTCCCATTCGCCAAGTGTGGGGCTGTTTTGAGAGAGTCAAACCCTCTCTCTCAACCTGCCTGAAAAAGTTTCCCCTTTACAGTGTTTAAGTCTACCTGGAGTCTCCATGACCCTTTAAAAATGGTTGGTCATTAGCCAAAATTATGGGGTCAAGGACCCCTTTTTAAAGGGTCAGAAGGAGACTCCAGGTAATCCTTTTTTGGGGAGGATTTCATTTGTTTCAAGGTCGAGTTCAGGGATGTTTTTGGGGAAATGGGCTAGTCCCGGGGGCAGTGTTTAATTATAGTTTATACTGGAGTCCTGTCGCAGGCAGGCCTCTAGCACCTTCCAACAACGGCTCTTCGGACAGACACTGAAAATTTTGGACATGGGAAAAGGCAGTTGTTGGGGAGTGTTGGCGGCGTAAATCCCCTTGAGAGTCTGTGGGATGGTCTGGAGTTTTGGACCTCAGGTGGTTCATCTCCGACCTCTTTTTGTCATTCCTTTACGTGCTCGACACCTGGGTTGTCACCATCCTGGTGGTGGTTGGAGGCAGAGACAGAGAGAGGGAGACGGAGAGGGAGAGGGAGAGGGAGAGGGAGAGGGAGAGGGAGAGGGAGAGGGAGAGGGAGAGGGAGAGGGAGAGGGAGAGGGAGAGCGAGGGAGGGAGGGAGGGAGAGAGAGAGGGAGAGACATGCCGGAATAACAGGTTTCACAAGCTTTAACTATTTGCAAACGGTCCCCAAAGTCCCAAGATTCCTTTTTGCGGTTTTAAACATCTTTTGTTGGGCCCGTGTGCCGCGTAAGGATGAGTTTTCCTTAGGGGTGAGAATTGGCTTGTCTGCGTTTTCGGTACGTTTGATGGCTTCCCGAAAGTTTGCTTCTTGTTCATATGCCTCGATCATTTCACTCCGCATTATTCAAAAGAAACACTCTATTCTATAGACGAATGAATGGGTCTCTGTATACATAAGAATGGCTCTCTGTCTTGCCCAAATGGTCTTCATTCTATATGATAGACAGCGTGTATTTCTGGATCTCTGTCTCACTCCTTTAGTTTCTGGGCGTTAGACTTTTCGGCCTTGGGCCATTGGTGAAAGTGGTCGACTTTTGACCAATCCGTTCATGCCTGGAGTGTTTCCATGAATGTTACTCAAACAGGGATTGTCCCATAGTCCAATTTCTCAGGGAGACTTCAAAAAGCGATACTTCGTTTCCCTGGCTCCAATTTGGCTATCAAAATCCCCAGTGAACATCCCAATCCCCACTAAAATAGGTTCTAAAATGGGTGGTGCACCAATCCCCCAAAATGGGATCCCATGGGTTTTGACAGCCACAGCCATTTCTTCCCTTTTTTTCACGGAAGCAGTTTGCCCGGGCTTCCAAAGCAAATCGGAGCTACGTTCAGGTGTGCGCCTGAACGCCGGCACGCCGGGGCCAAGGGAAGCAACAAAAACCTGAGGCTGTCTTAACTTGGTGGCTCCCAGCCATCCCCTTGGCTTTTTAGCCTTGTAGTGTTTAGTGGTGGTTTCCATTTGACCCACTAAAAGTTAAACTTTTAGCGGGGGATCTGAGGGCAGCCCAGTTAAGAAACATGGGTTGGCTCGCCATCTTTTGAGGGCACCCTTTTAACACCCAAAGGAAACGGACCCTTTTTTGAGCTTTTTAGTCGGGGAAAAAAAGCTCTCGAATATGGTTGCACCCATTCTCCCCAAGTTGTGTCTCTTTTTTTGCCTGATTTCCCTATTTCGCTTCGTCCCAGTTGAAACACCACAAAATCGATTGCAACCATGACTGGACGACATGGTGGGTTCTCACGTTTAAACGTTGGTTGTAATCTGCAGATTAATTTATGGTTCCATGTTAATTTTTGTGGGGCCGACTGGATATATGGAATTGGGGGACCCACCCCGATTCCCATCAATTTAGGGGATGTTCCTTTTCATGGGGGTCCATGAACAATTTTCACACTTTGCCCTTCTTCAACACCAATTTGCACTCCCAGATTAAGACATGGCGTCCCAAAAGGGAACCTCCAATGCAGACTCCTTTTAAACAGACATCATGTTGATTTTGGATTCGGGTTCAGTGTTACTTTTTGCACTGAATCTAAGCCGGGTTTGAACTTTCACTTGGGTACATGTCAAAATGAGGGGGGACGCCCCAACAAGCTGTTTGTCCTTCTGGTGTTGCTTTAACCCCTCCGAAAAGGGTACCCTCAACAAAGCAAACACACAAAACCGAGCAAGCAAACAAGCAAACAAACAAGCAAACAAACAAACAAACAAACATACACTTTGGAATGTGGAAGGTCACAAAGGTCGCATAAGATTCAGAATTTGCATTTCGGAAATCAACACAGAGGATCACGAACATCCGAGAGCCAAAGGAGTTAGAAATCAACAATCAACACATCATAAAAGTCTCTGCACCAAATATGCGGGGTCAAGGTAAAGATCACCGGTACGTGATTCAGGCGTCTCTGAATCATATCCTTGCCACACGTCACCCAGCTTCGTTGGCAGACGGAGTGACATGGGCACCTCTACCCCCTGTGATCGAGATTCGTGATTGAGCTTCATGAACTTCCCATGTGATCGAGATTCAAACTTACGCATCATGATCTTGGCGGTGAAGCCTTCCATCCGTAAACTAGGATGATCCACGCACACAAGCACACAAGCACACAAAGACACAGACACAGACACAGACACAGACGCGCACGCGCACGCACACACACACCCAGCCACCCACCCACGCAAGCAGGCAGGCAGGCACGCAGGCACCCAGCCACCCATGTACGCACGCACGCGCGCACGTGCGCGTGCACGCACGCACGCACGCCTGCGCGCACGCACGCCTGCGCGCACGCACGCAGGCACGCACGCACGCGCACGCGGCGCGCACGCGTTCGCGCACACGCACACACACACATTCACACGCGCTCGCACACAAACAAACAAACAATCAAACAAACAAACAAACCAACAAACCGTCAAGCAAACAAACAATCAACCAAGAAACACAGACACAAACAAACAAATAGACACACAATCAAATAACCAAAGAAACAATAAACAAGCAAGCAAGCAAACAAACAAACAAAGAAGCAAGCAACCACACAAATAAATAAATAATAATAATAATAAAAACATGCAAGCAAGCAAGCAAACAAACAGACAAACAAACAAACACGCAGCAACCAATCAAACAAATCAACCAAACACAAGCAAGCAAGCAAGCAATCAAACAAGCAAGCAAACAAACAACCAAGCAAGTAAACAAACAAACACGCAAGCAAGCAAGCAAACCAACAAACAATCAAACAAGCAAACAAACAATCAAACAAGCACTCAAGCAAACCCACACAGACATACAAACATACAAGCATACAAGCATACAAGCATACAAACATACAAGCATACAAGCATAAAAACATACAAACATACAAACACACAAACAAGCAAGCACACAAATACACACGCAAGCAAGCAAACAAGCAAGCAAGCAAGCCAGCAAGCGAGCAATTAAACAAACAAAGAAGCAAGCAAGCAAGCAAGCAAACAAAATCAATCAAACAACACACACTTAGTGCATTGTTACCGACTTTGGAAGTTCAAACTGTTGGCTGGGCTTTGCGCTTAGCTTGCGCCGGGCTTTGAATTGTTCCAACTGGTTGCCTTCTCTCAGGTGCGAAGTCCCCGTCCTAGCCCCAAAAAGGTGAGGGCCTTTCACCCCTGAGCCTCAAATATTGAGGTTGGCATGTGACTCAGGTATATCTACATCTCCAGGTCCTTGCACATTTTTGGGTCCTGTGGGGCTTTGAACAAATTTCGCAGGCCCTTTGGCTCTTTGATTGGCTAGACGAAGATAACCAAGGTAATAATCATTTCCTTTGGCTCCTTTGGCCTTCTCCTAGCCTTATTTTCCAGGCCTTTGGGGACTTCAACATTTCCGGGCCCGGCTCCGAACAGTCTTGGGTCAATAGCGAGAGCGCCCAGGTCCAGCATGACGATTTTGCGCATGCTGCGGATGGTGCGGCTCTGCCGCCTCACCAGGCGCGCGCTGAGCACACAAACGACTTGCGGCCGACTTGCTCAGTTTTTCGGGGGGAGAGGAGCTCACTCCCTGAGTGCGGGGAAGTTTTGTGGGGGGGACCATTTTACCTTGGTGCACTTTGCTTGGATGTTAGGACTTTAACTGTTTGCCAACTAATGGGTCTTCCATGAAACCACTAAATGCTAAACTTTTAGCAGGGGAGCAGAAAGCAACCGAGTTAGTAGAGTGCTTTGAGGTTTCCTAGGAGTTTTTGCCTTTGTAGGACATAAAGAGTGCGGTTACCCAGTGGTCGTTGGGCTGTGTCTTTTTCGGGGTACCCCAAGGGTAGTTTTCAAGCCCAAGCTCCCTTGTTCGACCCAGTGTATCCTAGGTGTTTCGCGGCTATAGTAGGGTAACCCGTCGCTGTATTTGTTTAACGTTATTGTTTCAAGGGTGGCAAGCCCTTGGTTACCTACTATACAGGTAAGAGGGTCCACAATGCAAAAGAACCACATCCAAATGAGCAACCAAGGCAAGAACCGCCGCATAAGCAAAATGGTTACCGTATTGATTGAACGCATGGCCGTTTTGCCGGAGACTTCCCCTTGGCTGAAAGAGAATATTTGAGCGCATTTCTAGAACTGAACCCAGCTCAAGATCCGCAGATGTTGCAGCTTGCAGGGGTCTTTTTGCCACCTTTTGTGAGAAAATTGGCGACCCCTCAAAAAAGGAATCCTTCACTACAAGGGGGTCGATCATTTTTCCACCCACGGTGGCAAAAAGACTCCCCTGGCAGCTTGGAAATTGAGACTGATGGACTCGGGCCCGGAACCCTCTGGCAAGGGCGCAAGCGTCATGGAGATTGATGGTATCATGGAAGGTGTATGCTACAGAAAGCAAGATGAATGCATATCCGCATACATGCACATGTTCCATTCACACAAGTGTGTAAAGTGTACAAATATGCAGCTTGCTAAACCGTGTTGCATACATATACATATTTGCGTGTACTGTGCATATGTATATATATATATGTATATATCTATAGGTGTGCAAACACATGCTTGCAGTCACCTGGATACCAGAAGTATGTGTTTGTAGTACACTTAAGATCAAGAGCACATGTATATATATATACATATATATATATAGGTGTGTTACTAGAAGTATGTGCAGCCCACTTCAGATCAAGTAAACATGTGGGGATAATCCCACATCCCCGGGGCATCTCAAAATGCAGACGCGCCAGGCTGGCCAAGTTGCTGCGGGCGGTGCCGGAACTGGTCATCATTATGAAGGCCCAGCTGGATGGGGCAAGATTTAAGGGAAATCCCCAGGCAGGTCGGTTTCTTCCTTCCATTTGTCCTTCCTTTTCTCGTTGTTCTTTTTGTTTGTGTTTTTTTTTTTGGGGGGGGGGGGGTAAACATCATCATGCAACGCCCTTCCCAAAGATTCTGGGCGCTCTGAGTTGCTGGACCTTCAGGGTATACTTGTTTGGCCAATCTGCTTAGGTGAGTTCAATCACTTAGGGAAACCAAACTTGACGGTGGGGCGTGAGATGTGGATTGGAGTTTAGATAAGTTCTTGACTGCTATTGGGTTGGATCTTTAGACTTTAACTTGTTGGGAGTCAAGGGGTTTTCCGTACTAAACCCACAAACAGTTAAACTCTTTGCAGAGGGGTCAACAGAAACCAAGAAAAGGGGGCTGTTTGAACAAAGGTTTCCATACACGTTCTTTTTCTCCATGATGAAACAGTTGGTACAGTTTGCCATCCAGGACTGACACTCATTTCCATGGACTTTACACTTTTTGGGAAGCCCACTTAGTGGTAAAGAACCAGTTTGTACTTCTTTGGGGCAGTCCACTCTATCGGAAGTGAGGAAAATCGGCAAACAATCCAATGAAATCTCGCTGGGGAAAAAGAAAAGCGGCCCTTGGCTGAAGACGCGGGATCTTTTTGAGCACCCGGAGAAGTGGCGTTCCCTTTGGTTTCCTGTTAAGCCAAAGCTTTCAGGGGGTAGCCTGGCAAGAATAGACACGACTTGTTTGGGGGAAAAAACAGTTTACCATTTTTCCAACCTTTTTTGCGGGGGAAAACTGGGACAACAGCTTTTTTTCCCCAGCAGCTGAAAGGGGCGAGGCACTTTTGGGCTCGGAGGGTGGGAGTTGTTTGGGGCTGCTGGCCCTGGCAGCCAGGGCATTGGCTTCGCTGCACGCTCAGTGGCCGTCTTCTTCATCTTCTGGAGAAGTTCCGAGCGCCAAACTCTGTTGCCCAGTGGATTCCGCTCTTTTTTCCACTTTCTCTGGGCAAGCGTTCCCTTCAGAAGAAGGGCGCCGATCCTTTTTTCCCCGTGGAACTCCACGGGGCATCTGAGCAGAAGTGCCCTCCAAAGAATCCCAAAAAGGGCCTTTGGGGTGCCCCAATTTGGGAGTTGGACCCAAGAAAGTTTGGCGAGGTTGCACCTTTCTGTGAAACCAAGCCAGGTGACCAATTTAGACAGGGCTTCTTAAAAGATCTCCATTTTGCCACCATTTGAAACATGTGGCTTTTTCAACACCAAAATAAAGGGACACCACCATTTACAAGGCAATGTTCAGGTGTATAATGTAAGGTTACCAATTTAGAAGAAGTCAGACCCATGTCATAATTCAGGATCCTAGATGCTGTTCATGCGGTTTAGAGACTCGGAGGTTCTCGCTTGGCCCAGCCTCCGGTGAACAAGACGGTAGCCGCAAAAGCTCCAGCAAGTTTTGGGTAGACCCTGAATCAACTAGGAGTTTTGTATGAAACATGAGTCAATGTTGCAACAAACAATATGCAAGGGTAGTGTGTCGCTGATTATTTTTACCCTCGCACTGGTCTCATGTCGTAACACTGTCGATACACTGAATCTCCGTGCAATGGCAATGCCGTATGGATCCCATCGTTTTTCCAAACCGTTTAGGGACCTTGCCGAACGGCCGTGAAACAAAAGGACTTGCCAGTTTTGAGATGCTTTATGTCTATGAGCAAACGTACTTCTAGTTTCCCAAACGGACATGGCCAAATCGGGGACCCGCCGATGCCTGGCGGTCCTGGCGTTTGTGAGGAACGTTTTGTCATCCCAACAGTAGACTGCCAATCATATATTGTCGGTTCCTCGTATGTAGTCAAACGACTTCTTGGCTTGAGTTTGGCAGGGATAGTCTCCTCAACCTCTCAATGAGAGTTTTAGACCAATATAAGTAATAGGGGACTGTTTGTGTTCTTTCTTGGATAGGTTGGGAGTTAGCTAGGCCAGCAGCCCCCACTTGACCCTCACTCAACACTCTTGCATATGCACTCCCCCCGCAAATCAACTTAGAACCGAAAAGCAACAACACAGGCATGTCTTGGAGGAGGTTCCTTTTTGACCCTCCATGTTCTAGAAGTGCAGACAGACATCACTGTGGGGACATGGCCATGGGGCATAACCTATGGCGAGCCGTTTTGGGGTGGATGAACATCCATTTGCCACCTATTTTGATATTTTTACCAGGGGCTGTGGGTTTTGACCCACAGCCACATCTAGAACACTTCGGAGTTCCTCTTGCTTCAGCTGGCCTTTCCGGGATCAACGAAAGCTTTGAGCATCCAAAATCATAGGATCCCCGCGCCAAACCCTCAAGACCTCACCCGATGTGGTTATTTCCAGTTTGGAGGAAGGGCGTATGGACACGGTTGGGGGCTGACCTTGGAGGTTGAATCCTTTGACAGAAGGCGGTCAACACCAGCCTGAGTTTTAACCCGTTCGAAACTGAGTTGACAAGGGATGCCCCCTTTTTGGGTTGCATGTTGATGAGTATCCTTTACGGTACGAATGAACCTTGTGATATAGAAAGCCACCCGAATGGTTGCAAGGGGGGGGTCATTCCAGCTTATTCAAAGAAAGGGGGGCCACTCAGCTGGCCATGAATTTTAAGAAAAACACTACCTCGCAAGTGGTTGGACATGAATCCCCGAATCCTGATGTCCAGCATTTCCGGTCGCCAAAAAACGAACTCATCAGCTCCGAAGTGTTTCGTGAACATAAGTCCCCAAATCCTGATGTCCACAAAAGTGTCGCCAAAAGGAAGTCATCAGCTCCGAAGTGTTTGGTGGGCTTGAATCCTCAAATTCTGGTGTCCACCGAAGCTTGGTTGAAAAAAGGAACACTAACAAAGAGCCCCTAAGAGGAAATTGATCTTCCAGCGCCATGCTGGGAGGGAGGGAGAAAAAGTACTCAGCTCCGGATCCAGGACCTTGATCACCTACGCCTTCTCCATTGCCATCCGCCAGCTCACCGACAAAACCGAGGCCCGGATACAGGACACGCTCCAGGGCTTTCAGATGATAGGCCCTGTTACCTTTTTTTTTGGGGAGGGTTCCCTTACTAAAATAGACCACAGAGAAAAGGGTACCAGCTTATTCTAGCCTCTCTACTGGAGGGGGGGGGTGCCCCTTTGATTGGGGAATCAGACCCACTTTTGGAGGGAACTACCCCTCTATTCATGGGAAGGATCATTCAAGGGAAGGGTCATTCATGGGCTTCCCATACTAAGGAGATGGCTCCCTTCTTTTGTGGAACTTTGGACATGCATGAAGGTGTACGCCCCATGTCTTCCTAATTTGTGGATGAAGTGTGCGTCCATCTTCAAGGAGTTTTCCAGCCAACGCATGGGTGTGTCTTAGAAATGATCCCACAAAAGTGTCCGCTTTCCTCTGGTTCCCCAGAAAATGGGAGAAGCAAATAGGGTTTGTCTGCAAACAGGGTAGCTTTGAATTTCCAGTCAAGAAGGGGCATGGTGGATGCACCACAACACCCTTGCAACATTTCGGGCGTGTGCTATTGCCGGGTACCCTTTTCAGCATGGTTTTTGTTCGGGGCTCCGCAAGGACACCCACCGATTTGTTTCAGGGTCACCCTATTTTGACAGATACGGCTATGAAAATAATGGGGAACACACACCCACTGGTTGTGGACACCAATCCCCACCAAAATGACATCCACCAAAGGGTCCAACCACTTTGAGTTCATACCCGTTCAGGGCGCCGTTTGTCAGGTGGGCAACACCTACTTCGCCACGGTGCCAGAGGCGCCGGCTGGGTCAAAGCATGTTCCTGGGTGTCAAATGGTTCCAGGGGCAAGGGTAAAGCTACCTCGTGCCCAGCATGAAGACGTTGCCAAGGTGGAATGAAGTACGGGAGATCAAGTCGGAATGAAGGACGGTTTCTGGAATGAACCGCCAGTTGGACCAAGTTGGAATGAATCTGGCGGAATGAGATGTACGCAGCGACGGAGGGAATTCCCATGTTCCTTTTATGAATGCCGCTGGGTGAAGTAAGTTGTTATTGCTTGGCTTTCTCAGTGATTTCAGATGCTATTCCTCACCCATTCTTTCCAGGGAACTTTCTGCTCAGAAGTTGGCTGCAAAACCCGGGACACCGTTGAGGTTCGAGGAGAACGCCCGCTGAAGAGACTGTGGAAGCGCCGACTTGGCTGCTTGTGCGATAACCTTTGAGAATCTTTAATCCGTCGATGATTGAATGTGCAGGTATCCCCAAAACTTGCTTTTTGTTGGTATGTATTTAGCCTCTACTAGGTCCCCCAGTAGAGACTCTTTTACCCTCTTTTTGGGGAGGCTTCCCCTAAAATAGACTACACAAAAAAGTTGGCACCCTTATTCTAACCTCTTTACGTTTTCCGAACTTTTCTTTGATAAACGGATTTGTGTGTTGCTCATGTGCCGAAAGAGTTGAGAGCAGAAAGGTTTCGCTCAGTCTACGCCTCGAAAGGCTAGTAGGCGAGTGTTGAAAACGGGGCCCTATTAAAAAGCATAGGCAACAGGACGAGGCATTGGTCATCAACATAAATAATACGACGCAACAACGCCCTTGTCTATTTTTAGGGAACAAAGGATTGTTGGGTTCCCTTCTGGTTCCCTTTTAACACAACCCCAATTTTCAAAAGGGATACCCGCAAATATATACCCATATACTGCTTGCCAGAGTCTGACGTTTTCTTTGTAAGACATTCGCTTGCGGTTTGCACGACGCGTTTCTTTTTTGACGCGCCTGTGGGTCCCTGAGACCAACATAGACCCAGTGCCCGTTCTTTCAACTCCTTTTGGAGGAGAAAACAAGGGAAGCCCCCTGAAAACCGACGAAGAAGTTGAGCGCCGAATCTTTTCCCCTGGAAATCAATTAAAACCTGGTGGAACATGGACGCCGAGTAACCTTAGGAAAGTTTGCACCCGTCTTGGGAGCTTTCATGGAAGCAAGCACTCCCTAGACTTGCCGGTTTTGGTGAAGGCTAGAATGGGCATTTGTGTTTTTGATGGTAGCTCTTTAAGAGGTCGGCTTAAACTGGACACCAACAGCAGCACCACAATTGTGCGCGGCACATACCCTTGTGGCCAAATGTTTGGTTTGTTTCTTTCTAATCCAAATGCGTGACGTGAGCAAACACTCAAAGAGAAAAACCACCTGTGGAAGGAATCAATTCTAGAGCTTACAAATCTACATCTATTGGGTTTGAGCGAATCCACGGATGAGGGGGGAACGAAAAACACGAAGGTTCTCTACTTGGGGGTTCTTCACTGTTTTTGGCATGATTTGTTGCGTTGTTAGCAGGTGCTGAAAAAAACAACGATTGTTTTTGGGACTTAAGGGTTGGACAGGGGTCCTATTCTTATGTCAAGTTTTTTTCTTGAACTATGGCAGATGGCATCTCATTCACAGCTCGCAGTGAGCCATGAAAGCTTCTTCCGGGGACTATGGTCACTGGGGCTTGGACCAGTTGGGTAAGCAAGCATGTTGGTTGCTTTGGCCAATCCAGGAAATGAGTTTGGTGTAATCCTAAACATGTCAGTAGGTTTCAATCGTATCACCTTCGGCCCACACGACCATGCCAACGGAACCAGGTTGAGTGCAGGAAGGTAGCAATGGGATTTTATGCTGTGGAGTATGAATTTGCAAATGTTGAAACATGTGGAAACATGGCTTGTGTGAGAAATGCTTGACCAAAATGGCATGTGCCATGTTGGCTCAAGCACCTGGAGTATTTGACTATTTGAAAACAAGGATATGTTGTTTGTCCCTATTGGTGTCAAAGGGAATCTATAACCATCGAAATGGAGCTTGTCCACGACTTACAAATGGGGCATGGGATGTTTTTTTTGCCAGAGCACATTGTGGTCGTCAAGTGGCAGCGGCTTTCCGCGGTGACGTTTTTGGTTGGGATAGTTCTGGATGATCCCTTGTATTTACTTGGTGGCTCCCAGCCATCCCGTTCCTTAGCTTTTTTGCCTTTTAGTGTTTAGTGGTAGTTTCCACTTGGCCCACTAAAGTTAAACTTTTAGCGGGGGATCTGAGGGCAGCCCAGTTTAGACAGCCCTGTAGCTGGACGTTTGTTTTGCTTGCAAAAGGGTTTGTCTCAAAGGAGGACAACAGATTCGGAGGTGTTCCTATTGAGTTCCCTGTGAACGTCAAAACGAGTAATGCAAAGACACATTCCTACTTGTTGCGTTTGTTCCGGAAAAAATGGAAGTTAGACCTTGTTCAAAGCTCAGATTTGAACCAGCAGCACCACAATCCATTTAACGAGAATGGGAGATAGAGAGAGAGAGAGAGAGCGGGATGGAGAATGAATCTGTTTCCAAATGCAGCCAGCAGTGATGTAAAAGACATTTGGGATTCATCCTCCATCATATCATTCCTGTGTCCATCCCTTTTCTTTTTTTTTAATTTGATTATTGGCTTTGTGGATGGACACATTATCACTCTCTCAATCTCATTCCCTTTATACTCCATTTGGAGTCACATGATGGAACAAATGATGGCCGACGGAGATCTCTCCATCTCTCCATCTCTCCGTCCTGTCTTTTTCCCTTTCCTCTCCCACATCCAGAATCGAGACTAGGAGATGGGATGTGGCAAAGAGATGAAAGAGAGCCCATTCCTTCGTCTCGCTGCTCTATTCCGAAGCTGGGGAGTCATTCCCTTTTTTTTTAAGCCGGCTGATAAAGACACATCGGACAACTTCTCCAGACTGAACTGACCTTGTTGCTGTTCGTCCTTTGGTCTTTTTCTTCATGTTCCTTAACTAGTTCCCCCGGTAGTGCCCTTTTACCCTTTTTTGGGGGAGGGTTCCCCTACTAAAATAGACTACCCTTTTTCTAACCTTTCCACTGGAGGACCTAGTAGCTGACCTTCTTCCTCTTTGTCCTTTGGTTGTTTTTTTCCTCATGTTCCTTAAAAAGGCAAAGAGAGACCTCATGTGGTACCGAAATTCGGTACCAAACGACCAAATTTTGCAACTCTCGTCAATTCGGATACATGAAAATGACAGCCTCTAAGGTTACCCTTTCAAAGGGTGCCCAGTCCCTGTGTAGTGGGAGCCACCCTGAAAAAAAACAGGAGGAAAACGACTGGTTACCTACTATAGTGGCAACTGGGATCCACTGGGGTGGTTTAAAGGGGGGTGCCCAGCCCAAAATACTGGGGTAGACTTAGGATACATGTTACATTTTACCAGTGACTCCATGTGACGCAACCACAAAAATATACATTCTATTGCTGGGCCTAACTCTAATCATGAATAGTTTTGAGCTCCCCTGAAACGATCTGGACGTCAAAGCGTCCCTCTAGAGTGCCTGGGAGAGAGAGAGCTCGCCAGACAATGAATATTCTGCTGCTGCAAGGCGCGGGTTTCTAAATGGTTGGCGTCCGTTTGGTTTCCGCTTGAATACCAACCAATGGGTCCATCGATCTAAGAAACACACATCTTCTTCTCGAGCCGAGGGTTGTCGCAACGTAGCACGGGTTTGGCGGATCTCATAGAGTCTTTCAGTCTAATTAAATACAAATTGTGCCCTGGTGCGATTGCTGGGCATTTTGAGGCCCCTTTGATTGAATTCTTGGTCAGTTCAAAGATCATCCAAATGTGAGCTGATGTAGCGGATTCCCTTGTAATTAAAGCCAGTTGGTTTTTGGATGTATCCTTTTTCGGAACCCTGTTTGGGACCCGTCCCATGCGCACAGGGAACACTCAGTTCCCAAAGATTGAACTTCATACCCTTTCCCAGCGCTTCCAGCTACCGTAGGGGGTAACCCTTCGGTATGGCTACCTCTAGGTCTTCCATCACGGCTTCCCCCGTTTACCTATAGTTCATAGAGTTATTCCTAGGACCCACCCAAACACACTACCCCCCACACACCTCCGAAAATGGGTCTATTAAAGGGACCCGGTGTGTTTGGGGTTTTTTGGACCCTTCAGCATCCTTCAGCACTGTAGGGTGTACTACTCGTGGCTTCCTTGGAAGCACTGGGAAGTTCACTTGACAACTTTGGACATGGCCAATGCACGGCCAGCGATGTGATTGGAGTCACTGGGCGATTTGGACTTTGCTTTTTTTGTTCCCGTGTCGCTTCGTGTTTTGCAGATGGCTTGGTCACTTGTTGCCAATGTCCACTTTAGTCAGGGTGATCCAAAGCCCCTTTGGCCTTTGGCTGGTTCAGAGGAAACACACATCTCTAATATGGGTTTATGCCCTCTCTTTGACAAAAGTCCAAGTTGGTTTTCTATTGCACCCTCGGGAAAAACAAAGAAAAACAACACTAGGGCAAGGACTCCAAATGGTCCAACATCATCAACTCCGTGGGTGAATTTCCGGACTTTAGTCACTTTTTTGGTCTGAACAGTTTTGTTCCTGGACTTGTTTGCCAATTCACTCGATCGGAAGTGAGATCATCAAACGTTTGGAATTCCTCCAGAAGTAACTTGCTAGTGTTTTTGTTGTTTCATGCCAGAAAAGCCTTGGACCCCAGATGAAGTCTTGCCCCTCACCCTCAAAGCGGTTACCACTTTTTCGCCGCCTGAAGTCCGGTTGGAATGAGGGTTATAAACCTTGATTGCTATTGGGTTGCATCTTTAGACTTTAACTTTTTGGGAAATACAAGTGTTTTCCACTAATCCCCCAAACAGTTAAACTTTTTGCAGGGGGTCAACAGCAACCAAGAAACCTACTATATACCGTGGCCCTAGTTTGTATGTGTATGAAACTGTGGGGTTGGACATGGCCGCCGTATCCTGATGCCAGGCCTGTTTCCAGAGAGCCGCTGTCTCAGCGGAGAAAGGCATCGGATCGCAAGCATGGTCTCCAACCGCCTGCCTAAAGATATGTGTGTGTGGCTCAAGGGGTTACGCAGGTTTTGGTCCGGCTTTTTGAGCCACAGCCATATGGGTTTTGAACTTTGATTGGAAGCCTATGGTGGACCTCATTTAGGTGGGGGTTTATATCCACCGCCCACTTTCCAGGGGGCTCCCAACAAGGCGGATGTGGCGAGGCAGAGCGCCGTGTGGTTGCAAGAGGTTCTTTTGCTGCTTCCCAGGTTTAAAGTCGCCTGCTTGAATATTTAGTCTACTTAAGTGCGCCAGGGAGGTTATTTGCTTTTAACTTGGGTTTGAGCTTTGTGCTTTTTAGGTTGAACATCCGCGCTTTATTCATGCATCGGCTTGACGGAGGTCCGGGTGCACATTGCTCGCGCTCCTTGCTCGTCAACTAGGCCCCAGACATGGCGTACGGCTGCATTGGGGAATGCGAAGGGCTGCTTTGCAGCTGCGTGCTGGGTCTCCTAGGGCCCCCCAGCAGTGCCCTTTCTCACCCCTTTTTCGGTTGGGAGGGTTCCCCTACGTACTAAAATAGACTACCGAAAAAAGTTGGTACCCTTATTCTAACTTCATTTCTGGACTACCCAGTCTCGTTTCCGTGCTCAGGCATTCAACTGCTTGACGCCATCTCCGACGGATCCACTTGGCCCGCGCGGGAGGGGGAGGGGGCCTTTCCCCCGCCAAAAAAAAAGGCAAGTCAGCGGCCAACTGGCGCGCGGGCCCAACTCATTTCACACTTGCGGGGGTTTTGGACGGCTGGCTGGTTGGTCGACTGACCGGTTGGTTTGTTGGGTGGTTGATTGATTGCCTTGGCTCACCAAAGGTGGAAGCAAGTGGGAGCCAAACAGAGGACGTCGCACGGCGCTGAGCCAGCGAAGATTCCAACTGGACTTATGTTTGGCTCACCCCTTTTTTGGTTGGGAGGGTTCCCCTACTAGAATAGACTACAGAAAAAAGGGTACCCTTTTTCTAACCTCTCCTCTGGAGGACCTAGTAAGTTTGGCTACTCAACGCAAAAAGTGAGCATTGTTTGGAGGTTCGTCGCTTTGCTAAACAAGATAGAGGCAGCTTCCCCATTCAACTGCCCGAGATCCCTCAAGAATCCATGGGAGAATGGCTGGTTCGAAATTTAGGAAGCTGAAGTCAACCCCAAGAATATTGCACCGGGGGATCATATTCATGCGTGTCCTTTTTTCGCTGGTACGTTTGAAAGGGAACCACGAGGCTCTTTTTGATTTCTGTATTTTGACACCGTGTTCAGCACCGCCCCATCGAATCGAGGGGTTTACGCCTCCTGCTCAGACCACCGACATGATACTTTCTTTTACCCTTCCTCCCACTGACATAGCATTTGCGGGAGGATGCCAGGAAGACCAATTTCTTCTTTAAGGGCCCTCTGTCAGGTGCCATGTTAGTGGGATGTGTCGTAAGATTCCCTTTGGAGCTTTCCCGGTAAAACTTTTCTGCTTGGAATTTTCCCCTTGGAGTTCTCACAACTTCTCCATTTTCGCATTGCAAGTTTCCCTTTAAGCTATCCGACTGGAATTCTCACCGGACGTTTCCCATTCGGATTTCCCTTTGCAATTTTCCCACTGGAGTTGACCCATTGGAAACATATCTTGGAGATGTCGGTTGCAAGTTTCCCATCGGAATTTTCCCATTGGAATTGTTCCATTACAATTTTCCCTTGGGAGAGTTTTCCCTTTGGAATTCTTCCCCTGGATTTGTTCCTTTGGGTTTTCCCTGTGGGTTTTTCCCATTGGGGGTCTCCCTTTGGAATTCTCCCATTGTCATTTTCCCGGAGTTTCACCGTTGGAGTGTTCCCAATGGACGTTTACTTCTACCTTTGGATTTTTCTCTTCGGACTTTCTTCCTTTGGCGTTCTTCCAATAAATTTCCACCATTCGAACTCTCCAAATGTCCCATTGGACGTTTCCCATTGTATTTTTCCCATTGGACTTCTGCCATTGTAGTTCTGCCATTGGACGTTTCCCATTGGATTTCTCACTTGTTTTTTTCGGCGTCATTTTCGATTTCACAAAGTACCATATTGGAGTTCTCCCATTGGAATTGCCCTGATGGAATTCTCTCATGCCAACCTTCCCATTGATATTCTCCATTTTCGCATTGCAAGTTCCCCCTTAAAATTATCCGACTGGAATTATCTCGCCGGACGTTTCCCATTCGGATTTCCCTTTGCAATTTTCCCACTGGAATTCTTCTTTGGACTAACCCATTGGAATTACCCCGTTGGCATTCTCCCTTTGGAATTGTGCCATTCCAATTTTTGCTTTAGATATCTCCCATCGGAATGGCGTTTATTGGAGTCGTCTCTTGCAATTGTCCCATTGCAAATGTCCCACAGGAATTTTCCCATTGGAAGTGTCCCTTTGGATTTTTGTCTTTGGACTGTCCCTTGGACATTTCCCTTGGAATTCGTCCTTTCTTACTCTCCCATTGACAATTTTCGCAGTGGGGATTCTTCATTGGACTATCTCTTCGAATCCTCCCATTGGAAGGAATTGTCCTTGTGGAATTTTCCCATGGGAAATGTTCATTGGAACTGTCCCTTGAAATTTGCCAGAGGACGTTTCCCTATGGAATTGTCCCATTGAAACTTTCCCATTGGAATTCTTTCATCAGGATTCTTCCTTTGGACTTTTCCCCTTTGGCATTTTGTCTTTGGCGTTCTCGCATTGGAATTTTCCCTTCGGACTGTTGCCTCAGTGGAATTCTCCGATTGAAATTGTATTTTGAAGTTTTGTTTTGTTTTTGTTTGACCCTCTTTGCTGCTGTTTTCCCAAGAATGATGTTCTGATAGTGCTGGTGATGCAGGTGCTGCTGATGATGTTGCGCGGGAGGATGCAACAGCAATGCTGGGGATGGATGTTGGACATTTGCCCAGCCCTCCCCCCTCTTTGCCAGGTAAGGGGAGGGGTAACAGGTAAGGATCATTCTTGTATCCAACACGCCGGCAGTTGTCGGCGGATATGGCTCGTCTAACTACCCTGCACAAATTGAAAAGCCAAAAAACATATGATTTTGGTTGCAATGCCACTTTGTAGTTTGAGGGCTGAAGTGTTTGTTTTTTGAGCCGTGGAAGGCCTTAAGACATGGGCTGGGCACCAGTTCGAGCCGACAAACTTGATGTCCACATGATAAAAGCGCCACGCCAGTTGTTCTTCAGCTTAGGCTGCGAAATCGGCAGCTGGAAGCTGGGGCCTGGGAGTTCGGGCTTGGGGATACGGGCTGTATTTCCAAAATGCCTCGTTGGGCTTGTCTCGATTTAAGAGGACCCCTCCCACCTGGTTCCCTTTGGGATTTCCCAAATCAAAGTTTGAGTCCTCAAATCCACGGAAACTTTGAGATCAACTCTCATACATACTGTGTCTCGCTCTTTGTTGGCAAACGGGAACCAGCAGAAAAAGAAGAACAGCAAAACGCCGAGTTTTTTTTTGGGGGGCCCTTCAAAGAAAAAATGCCAAGTCTTCAGAGGCCCTTATTCGAAGCCCTCATATCCTCGCTAGACCCGCCAGGTATTTGTGGCCGCTGACCGTCTTCTTCCTGGCGCTGGTGTCTCTGACAGTGCGGCCCTCGACTCGACTCGACCGCCCCGAAGCCGAAGCTCTGGGTTCATCAGGTGGAGGGTGGCGAACTCCAGCTCGGTTTCACCACTTGAGAAGCCATGGTGATGGTTGAAACCATTTGTTTGTTGTTCTTTACGGGGGAATCATGGTTCCAGGCTTGTTTTTTGTTTGGTGCTGCGAAATGGATTTCGTCTTTTAGCTCCCCCCTTTAAACAGAACCTGGCGGTAGGCCGTGGTTTTGTTCATCCTTGGTCGGGTCTGTTGCGCTTGCCAGCAGCAATTCCAGCTTGGACAGGAGGCAGCAGCCCATTATTATTGCACTTGCTGAGTCAGCATTGCTTGACTTGTTGGCGAATGTTCGAAGATTCCTTCATTTTGGAGGGCCAAATTCTTTGTTCTTTGTGCAGAGGCTTGTAATTCATGGAATGAAGCTGAGGCCGGTCAAGCCCTTCAGCACATACTAAAACAATTCCTCAGTTGCCCAAAGCCGACCTGTTGACCTTTTGGTTTCTCCTTGTTGGTCTAGTTTTAGTCATGGCCCCAAAAGGTTAACCTTTCATTTCTGGGTCCTTTGGGATCTTTGGGCAAGTGAGATTCATAGCCCTGGGTGCCTTTCACGATAGTTCAAGGCCGCCGGGTCCAGACCTCTTGGCTCATAGAGAATCGTGTTCGAGCGCCCGGAATGTGTTGCGCTTTGCTTCGTTATGCTAACGCTAAGTAGGTCGTGTGTGTATATGTATATATATGTATATTAAATTTGCTACCCCCCCAGGGACCTACCTTTTCTAAGCCTCTCCAGTGTCTGGAAGGAAGGGTCTCTCAACAAGGACTAGGACCAAAGAGGACTAGAACCAAGGATCTTTCAGCTAAGACTAGGACCCAACTTCGACTAGACGGTTTACCTCAGATGCTTATAGTATTTTGAATTTCAAGTATAAGTTCCTTAGTACGATCTGACGACCAACCCATGCTAGGACTGGAACCAAGGATTTCTCAACTATGGCTAGGATCAGACTATTTAACTCTAATCCTTATAGTTTTCGAATTGCAAGTAGAATATTCTATTGTAAAGAAACTCCTGTGCACCATTTGATTTGAAATAGAATAGCCAATATTAGAAATCCAATTTAAGATAGAAATGCTGACTGGAGTATGTCCTTATTCTATTGAATTTCGGTTAGACGTTATGTAGAATTTGATACTTCGACTAAGTATAAAGAACAATAAAATAATCCAGGGGTCCCAAAAATGTTGATCAGTGTGAGTTTAAATGGTTGCTGATTTGTAAACACAATTCTATTGGAAAGGATATATTGGGTAACATTCAAGCTGACATAATAACAATCATTATTCACAGTCAACTTTAGATTAATTAGTGTGATTGGTGTTTTTCATTAGGGAAGAGTTCAGAGGTCCCAATATGGTTTTTTCACTAGCACTACCATGGTCAGAAAACGCCGCAAAACACGGTGTTTTGCAGCGTTTCCCATACTTAATTCACGTCTCCACCAACGAACTAAATATAGTTTTGGTTCTGGATAGGATTTAATTGGGACCGGAATTTACATCTCAAGTTTGGAATTTAAATTGAATTCCTTTCCCAGTACAGCCTTACAATTCAATTGGATAATTTGATAAGGAAAGAACTGATTCTAAGAAGCTACTTGAGATTCCAGGTCCAAAATTCCCTAGACAAGTCTTCTCTGACTCGAGTCCAGGCCTCGTCTGAAACCGACTGCAAATTCAGTCGAGCCTGGATTCAAGATTCAAGAGCACCTAGACAAGTTTGGCCTACAATTTGGAATCTGGGACCAGATCTAAACAGATTGAACCAGACTGAAAGTTCAATCTGGCCTGGATTCAAGATCCAAGATACCAGATTCCCTGGAAAAGTTTGGCCTGCAATCTGGAATCTGGGACCAGATTTAAACAGATTGAGCCAGATTGAAAGTTCAATCTGGCCTGGATTGAAGATCCAAGATACCAGATTCCCTGGAAAAGTTTGGCCTGCAATCTGGAATCTGGGACCAGATTTAAACAGACTGAACCAGATTGAAAGTTCAATCTGGCCTGGATTCAAGATCCAAGATACCAGATTCCCAGAAAAGTTTGGCCTGCAATCTGGAATTTGGGACCAGATCTAAACAGATTGAACCAGACTGAAAGTTTAATCTGGCCCGGATTCAAGATCCAAGATACCAGATTCCCTGGAAAAGTTTGGCCTGCAATCTGGAATCTGGGACCAGATTTAAACAGATTGAACCAGACTGAAAGTTCAATCTGGCCTAGATTTGAAAGATTGCAAGAGATTGTCACTTGAAGATTACACCGTTTGTTTTTACTGCTTTCTCCGAAGCCCCAGGAAAGGCAACCACTGCAAGTACCAGCGAATTCTTAAACAAGGTAGGTCCCTGGAAAAGGGGGGTACCATACATATATATATATATATATCTGTGCCCATGTGGTCACATGCCCCGGAATTGATGGTCCCATACAAACGATATGCTATATATGTACTTTATTGGGGCGGGGGGGGGGGGGGTGATCATACACACATTAAAAACATATAGTGTACATATTACTTACGTATGTATATATATATATATATGTTTATTATGTGTGTGGGTGTGTACAATTGTACGCCAAGCAACCCCTAGCCCTGACATTGCGGGATATCGAACAACTAAACTCGCCTTCCAACCCTGGTGGCCAACAAACTGATCGTGGCAAGCACAGAGGCTCCTCACTCCTTCGACATGGTATGCAAAAAACACAGTTTTTTAGCACGTGGCACATGTTGTAGTTTGAGTGGAGGCAATCGAAAACCACATCGAGAAAGATCATCCGCAAGACCCAACACCAAAAACAAGAAGCCAAAACTGTGAGGACGAGTTGTGGTTTTGCCAAAGAGATATGGCCTTTTGGGTTTATCGCGGTTGCTTTTTGCTTTTTGGCTTTCACTAAATTTTGTTTGTTGTTTGAGTAAAAAAGCAAACAAACAACCAAGGGTAATCTGGAAAAGAGTCATATTTCATGGAAAACCAACACCCTCGAGAAAACACCATTTCCAAAACTCTGAGAGAAAGTTTTGGTTTGGCCAACAGTTTGTTTGTTGCTTTTCTCGGGTTGTTTTTTTGGTTTTGTTTTCCCTGTGGTTTTGGTCTTTGAGTAACGACCAACAACAACTCGATAGTTTTGGGGGCTTCCAACAAATATGACTAAGAACCAGACGCATTGTTTTTGTTTCTTACTCAAAAACAAACAACACAGGGAACAGAGTGACGTTTTTTGGTTTTCTCGAGGGCTTTTGGTGTTTCATCAAATATGACTAAAAACCAGAAACATTATTTTGTGGAAAACCGAATAAAACTCAGGGAAAACCAAAATACCCGAGAAAGCAACAAACCGAAGTTTTGTTTTTGGTTTTGGCTTTGTTGAGAAAGTGTTGCGTTGTTTTTGTGTTCCCTGGTTCTCTTTCTTGTTTTTTAGCTTATCCCTGTTTTGGGCAGGTTTGGTACTGCCATAAGTAAGCCATTTTGGGGCCGCAGTGAAGGGACGCGACCAGTGAACTAGATGTTCGATGCTTTAAATTAGAATTCAGCACTTGGCTTTCAAGTCTTGACCCAAACTGTTAGGAGGCTCCTTTAAAGGCTTCATACATAGCCCTGACAAACTCTCCGTGGAAGGCTCATTGTACGGCTCATTATGAGGGCCCTTATAAATTCCACATGAACCTCCTTGTGAAGCTGCTTGTAGGACTCCTTTTTTAAGGACAAGGCCTCATATAAGGCTCACAGTTCCGTACAAAGCTGCTTGCAAAGCCCCTTTAAAGCTAAGACTTCTTTTAGATCTCCTCAGAATGTTCTTTAACAGCTCCCTATAGAGCTCCTTACACCATTCCTCATGAAGCTCTTTTTGAGGCTCCTTATAATGCCCCTTGTAAAGATGCTTGCAAAGCTTCTTAAAGCTCCCTCGAACAGCTGCGTATCAGGCCTCCTTCTCAGGCTCCTTGTAAAAACGCTCTTTATACTCCTTGAGAAGCTGCTTCTACGGCTCCTTACGCAGTTGAAAACTCCTTATAAACCTGCTTTCCAAAGCTCCTTATAAGGCTCCTTATGCCAAATTTGATTTTGATTGAAGTTTAATTAGAATTTAGATGGGCTGTAAAAAGAAAATGTTTCAAATAGAACTTCTATACGTTTTCATGAGAATCTAAAAGGGAAGTCCTCGCCACATCTGATGTTAGATTGATATTAACTAGTAGAAATACATAGGCTTTAATAAGGAAAGAGTTTCATTGTAGTTTCTATCTTCAATTAGAACCTGAAAAGACATCCATTGCGTGAATAGAGCTTAGCAAGGGAATAATTCAATTGTGATGTACGCTATTAATTTGAATTTAAATGTGAACTCATTGTCCAATGGGTTTTAAATGAATAGTTGCTTAGACGTGTCATAGAACTAAAGAATGACACAATTGAATTTGAATGTCTATGTTGATTTAGAATTTAAGCAGGTTTTCCTTCCAAATTGGATTTGTTTTGTAAAGTTAATTGCAATGTAATTCGATTTTGAATGTCTAGTTCGATTTAGAATCTAAGTAGGAATTCCTTTCCAAATATGCTTTTACTCAACGTGAACTGCATTTCAATTGGAACTTGTGGCTTTTCTTTGCCGTTCTGGCCACAACACATACTACGGTGGGCACAATAAGTATACACGTCCATACATATATATATATATTCACATGCTGGTGGTGTGCTCGCAAAAAGAGACACCTGTATTCTGGTGGGTGTGCCAGCTTTGGGTTTGAGGTCATGTACATGCTGGTGGGCGTGCTGGTGGAAGTCGTCCAGGTGAAGCTGAGAGTCGCGGGTCCCCACACCCCGAGCCGATGGCTGCTGTGTGTCCGAGTCGCCCCGTAGACCTTGTGGAAACAAATGGGTTTCGTCTTTTTGAGGTCTAAAACGAAAACGTGGTGGGCTAGAGGGAAAGCGGCTTTTGCCGGGGTTGGTCTGAAACGAATGGTTTAATCCAGCCGTTTTTTGGGTTCGCCTAAAACGAAAGGTTCAAACCTGCCGTTTTTGGGGGGGTGGTCTAAAGCGAAAACGACATGGCAACCACTTTTGGGGGCTCTCTCAAGAAAAACAACCACGCGCACAGAAATTGTGTTTCCATATACCAAAACAAAAAGGTGATCGACCTTTTGCTCGGAGCAGCCCATGGGCATTTGTTTGACGAAACTGCGGGCAAACCGAGGCTCGGTGTGCGACGTTCAAGGTTACTTGCATGGGGATTCCTTGGTTGGTTGGGTAAGTTAGAATGATTCGTGCAAACTTAATCCTTTCTTGGGGTGGCATGTTTCCCCTCCTACTCCACATACCCTCTGTTTTTTGAACAAGTGTTTTTTGAAGAGCCTGGTTTGGCATGGCAAGTACCTCCTTTTGGTAGAGGGTTGACATGATTCCCTAACAAAGAGGGTATTTGGAGGTTGCGGCGGTAGTGTGGGCACAAGCGATCGCGTTGGCCATTTTAATAAGTGGTTCTAGTGTTTTATTTTGCGGGTGATACAGTAGCAAAGCCTCCAGAAACCGCCCACGAATTTCGATTTTGCGAAGCCTCGAAACTGAGCGCTGAGCATTTCCACCCGCCCATTTGTTTCACAGCATTTGATTTGGAGCTGGTTTCAAATCGGGGACATGGTACATATCGGTTTGTGCTATACGCACCTAGGACTGTTAAATTACGTGTTCGAAATGTGCGTGGGCTAGATGTTTTTATTTTTATGCCTTCGGACTTGTTTCGAGTTGGATCCATCAGTTCACACAAAGTGGGCAGAAACCCGGGTGAAACCACGGCCCTGGGAAACTGGTGCAACTGATTCCTTCGGTTTCAACGTACTCAGAACATTGGACTCCTGGATTCAAGGGCTGCCATCTCTTGTTAAATGCATGTGGTGTTCACCCCGGAGTTGGCTTTGTAGCAAAGGGAAAATGTGCAGAGGTGGGCTTATGCAAGAAAAGGCGACACATGGTTGTCTCACTATTGTCGGACAGCCCTAAAAGTGCTCTGTGTTTCCGTTTGGATTCCCACTTTTTGTTTCAACCCAAAAGGACTTCACTGTTCTTGGCATGTTTTTTGGTCTTTCAGTTTTTTGGTTCTGTTCATTTTTACTGGGGCTCTGCAAAAACAAACATTAAAAGCTTTTCGCTACCATACCAAGAGTAGAGATGATAAGCTAGGTCCCCCAGTAGTGCCCTTTCACCCTTTTTTGGGGGAGGGTTCCTCTACTGAAATAGACTACAGAAAAAAGTCGGTACCCTTTTTCTAACCTCTCCACTGGAGGACCTAGTCGGGTTCCCCCCCCAAATGGAATTTTCCTTCTGAGCCCGAGGTCTCCAGTTGCCGCTGGCTCGCTCGATTTTTTAATTGCATCTGGCAGGTGGTGTCCTCAGTGGAGAGGGAGAGCCTTTCAGCAGCTTGGCGAAAGAGGAGCCGATCGACTTAGGTCTTGGGCTTCGTCTGGTGTTTTTTGTTTTTTCTCGTTCGGGGACCCGTCGATCGGTGTTTCTTCGTTCGTTGGTGGGACCCACCATGTTGCTGGCTTTCCTGTTAGTTTTCCAAAGCCAGCAGGAAAGGGGGAGCCTCAAAGAAAGACACCTTCAGACTTAAGGATGCTGGCACTTTGTGTCACTTTGTGTCACTTGGTGTGGCGGGGTCAATTGTTTTCGACATGTTATGACACAAAGTCGTATTTAGAGCGCTTGCAGGTGTGAAAAATGTCACATCCTGGGACGTGCTCTTTTCATGGTTATTGTTAAGAAACATTTTACATTTTGCTTATTGTGGTTTAGAGGTTGAAATCCCCACTTAACTGCTAAAAAATGATTTATTGTCCTCCCCTTCCCACGTCAAACCAAGAAATTCAGGGTACCCCCACTTAACTGCCAAAATTTATGTTTTGCTCCCCTTCCAACGTCAGCCAAGTTTTGGGGGGGGGAAGGGGGTGGACTTTGCAGCGCAGAGGGCCACTCGTCTTGGGCGGTCACGGTGGGCCATGAAGGGCCAGTACCCTTCCCATGGTTCCCCATGGCACTGAATCAGCGGAGAATTCGAAGAGGGAACCCGTTCAACGGGTTCGAAGAAACCTGTGGTTCCACATTGCACCAAGGAGAGAAACACGTGCAGCATTGGAAAGGAATCTATTTGTTAGAACTCCATTTAGGGCCACCGATTTCTGCCCAGAGACTGCAGGTCCTGAATCAAAATCGACCAGGGTTAATTGTGGGGGATGATAGAACTAGGAACCAAAGCATGTTCAACACACACATTAAAAACATATCAGGTATCTTCATGGGAAGTTGTCATCAATTCTTCAGCCCCTACTTGCAGTCGCTCGGCGCATTTGATTTTCACTGGTCCGGGAAGCTTTGAACAATCCAATTTGACCCGTATCAAGACTAGGTCCCCCAGTAGTGCCCTTTTACCTTTTTTTTGTTGGGAGGGTTCCCCTACTAAAATAGACTACAGAAAAAGGGTGCCTTTATTCGAACCTCTCTACTGGAGGACCTAGAAGATGCTGGATGCCTCTAGGTCGCCAACTTAGGAAGGTTATAACCCGTGCCGTGGTTTGCAATTGCCCCGTGTGGTGTTGTCCTGCTGTTGGTTTCCCTCTATCGTTGTTGATTTCCCTCTATCGTTGTTGATTTCCAATTCCTGGCTTCTCAGAAACCAACTGGACATTCTTCAGGAAGTTTTCCAACATTGGAACTTGGCGGGTACTTGCTTAGACATTCCTGGGGAAAATTGGGTACGAGGTCCTATGCTTAAATCTTTATGCACCTCTTTTTGGTACCCTGGGTCAAACATTGGTATACACTACTTACATGGATTGTGTGGGATGGAGGGGGACGAGGGACACCCACAGTTGTTTCATTGCGTCAGACGCTTCGATCGGAACAGAACGCTTCGATCGGAACGCTTAGATCCCTTTCCACAGGGGGTTGATACGATGCCCGAAGTATTGCAAGCAGGGAACAAGGGAATCCCTGTAGTCAAAAAATCCCATGGTTTGTGGTCTTGCGTGTAATATGTAGGGCATCCCCCAAATTGGTGCATGTTCAACAGGTTTTAAGCATCACCTTGTTTACTCGGTCGAGGTGATTCGCCCTTGGTAGCGGTGAGGTTTTGAGGGGCCAAAAGGGAACCCTGTTTGATCAAAAGGTCCCTTCAATCCTTGCTGGGAGCCTTTAGTTTCCATGAGATGTCCCAGTGCGAATCGTGTTTGGCTCCTTTGATCTTTGGGATGGGTTTCCAGGATGCCGGAATCCAGCAAACGGTCCAGACAACAAAGCCAAGCACCATGTGGTGCGAACATCTAACCTCTGCTTTTGATCCAGGTTGTTTGGCGATTCAGGTGTTCCTTGGTTAGTGGTTTGGGTTGGTGGTGGGATTTGAATGCCTGGTTCTTGTAGAGGGTAGACGGGAAACTTACCCACCAGACCACAAAGCCACCGATTCGGCTCCAAACGGCGAAAGTTGGCTTTCCAATGGACAGCCACAAAATTCCGGCCGATGTTGGCAACGTGTGTCACAGTCGAGAAGAGGACCAACCCAAAGCAAATGAACAGCACCCAAAACCTACGGGCAGGTCAGAAGGGGCCTAGTACTTGGTTTGATTTCTGTTTAATGCCTCTACCCAATCCGTTTATTTCGTGTATGCCAGCAGTTGACCCATGAGGGAAAGTGGGTGAACATTGCATGCGGGGAACAAAAGGACTCAGATGTTTGGGATCCTTTGAAACAAAGCTAGGCGATCTTTTCTACATAGAACAAAACAAGTCCATGGACCAGGTACCGGGAACCATATGTGGTACCCATATCAAAGTCGGGGGGTTTGAAGCGTGGCGCAACTTGCATGACGCCTCGCCCGATCGGCCAAGGTGACCTTTATGGCCAGTGAGATGAGGCGGGAGAATTCACCCGCGGAGTATTCGCGAGCCTTGCACCAGGTTAAATGAGAAACCACCATGGGAATGAAGCCACCATGGTTGCGATATTTATGGGGCAAAACACGATGGGAATGAGACCACAAGGTTTGCTATGGTATTCCCGTTGGGGAATCGAATCAGAAACCAGGGTTTCTGAACGGTGCGGAATGGAGTTCGTACGGTATGAGCAATGGTCACCGAGTTTAGGAAATCTATTAAGAAAAAGCAAAACCCGGAAAATAGATGGCAAGCCCGGAAAATATCCTGTCATCTTTTGCAGAGCGGCTGACATTCGGTACACTCACCAAAATACCATCAGGATTGACATGCGGCCATGTCGGTTGAGGGCGCCACGAACCTTGACTGTGGCTCCGATAAGTTTGTGTCAAAATGGGTGGACTTGAAAAATGGCGGATTTTTGTTGTGTCCCTAAGTGAAAAACTGCTTGGCCGCCATAAAGAGTTGGTATAATAGGTATGTGTTGGTATCATCTTCGAGCCATACGCCCCAGCCAAGTTTCCAAGTTTGGCTTGAGCAGTGAGCACCCCCGTTTTCCAGCTTGAGGCGTTTGAAAGAGCTCGAGCTCGGAGCTTGATTGCTATTGGGCTGGATCTTTAGACTTTAACTTTTTTGGGGGAAATAGAGGTGTTTTCCACTAAACCCACAAAAAAGTTAAACTTTTTGCAAGGTGGTCAACAGCAAACAAGAGAGCAATGCTTTCTTGATGTGACGATGGCAACTTTCACATCTTCTGCGAGTGTGTTGCCTGCCTCGGTGGCGAAAGCCATTGGGCCCGGCCGGCATGGCGAACTGGTGCAACGCGGGCTAGCCCCCCCCAGAGCTGCAAAGTAAAACGAGAGCTGCAGTCAGAAAGTGAATTGCTATTCTGCTCACGTGAGATGAATAGATTCTAGTGAATAGATGATCAGCTGAACAAGTCGCGGGTGGGTTTGTTGTTTTGCTTGGTTTCATCTCCAGCCACATCTACTTGGACGCTCCCGGCGAGCCGAGCCGAGTCGAGACGAGAGGTACGAGCTGAAGAAGTTGGGCTTTCAACCCGATGGCCCGTGGCTCGCCCGCACTTGCGATGGGGCGGGCGGCTGAAAGGTTTGAGGTGAGAAGGAAGATGGGTCTGTCTTTTTGACGCATGTTCCCATTTCTGCTTGTCTTTTTTTCGGGGGGAATCGGAGCCCCAAAACTGCGTGCTGGTCCTTTTGGTTTGCCTTTTCGGCACCGAAAAGGTGGTACCAACTCAATAAAGACGAGCCGCCCATTTTCGTGGTGCTGGGTGAGAGTCTGGGCAGTAGCCTAGCCTGAGCTTGCAAAACCCGTAAGCCCCCACAAAAACGCCCGGGTTTTTGAAGGGCCTTTTGTTTTTAGGGAAAGCCTGGTTTCAAGTTACCCTCAATTAAGCAGCGGTTTTTTTTTAAATGCAGGAGCCAAAAGGAGAGGGGAACTGGCATGGTAGCCGCGTAGCCTACTCCTGGGACCGCGTAGCCTCGCGTAGCCTCCGCGTAGCCACTAGCAAAGGGAGCTGTCGACAATCGTCCGCGTAGCCTCCGCCTAGATCCTTTGTCTTGAGCTCAAGGCTTAGGTTGAAAGCTTGCGTGTCTCAGAGAAAGAGGGTGAATTTGATTTGCCTTGGCCCAGCCAGAGCTGAGTTCGCTCATTCCGCGTAGCCTCAGCGTAGCCTGCGCGTAGCCTCCGCGTAGCCTCCAAGGCGTGTTCAAGGCCACTGGCCCACATGCCTCCTACTACTACTGTTACCATTACTACTACTACTGCTACTACTACTACTACTACTACTGCTACTACTACTACTACTACTACTGCTACCACTACCACTACCACTACCACTACCACTACTACTGCTGCTACCACTACCACTACTACTACCACTGCTCCTGCTACTAATACTTCTACTACTATTACTACTAGTGCTAGTACTAGTACTAGTAGTAGTAGTAGAAGAAGTAGTAGTAGTACTAGTACTAGTACTACTACTACTACTAGTACTACTACTACTACTACTACTACTACTACTACTTCTTCTGCTACTACGAACTTCCGGTTGCCGACGAGTATTCGCGTAGCCCCGGCGTAGCCCCCCGCGTAGCCACTTATCAACAAATATGTTCCGCGTAGCCTCCGCGTAGCCAAATTCCTAGGGGGAAAGACAGCCGCGTAGCCTCCGCGTAGGTATGTGCTTCCAGTGTATAGGCCCCACACCATTAAAAAAAACACGGCTCAATTGGTGGTTTGGATTGTTTGGGGATTTGAACCCCTGGTTCTTGTAGAGGTAGATGGGAAACCCCTCCTTCACCACCAAACCACCGGGCTCCAAACCAGCAAATGGAAGGAAGCTGATGGTTTCCCGGGGCAAATACCTGTAAGACTTTTAGGCCATACTTGCCATACCCTGAACAAAAAGAGTGGTTGTTGGGGTCGTGGTTCTGGTGGCTCACCGCTGGGGCGATCCAAGTCGAAGGGTGGATTCCGACTCACCGAGGATCAGCAAGTCCGACTTCCAACGCGCAGTGGCAGGGGGGCTTGGACAAACTGATGCTCTCTACCCAATCTGGATCTCTCCCTCTCTAAGTTTAAGTGTACCTTTTCTCTTCCCCAGAATTAGCTCCCCTTTTTGCTTTTTTGGGGTCCCCTTTGTTTTCCACTAACCAGGCAAAAAAAATCTGTTTTTTACTGGGGTCCCTTTTTTCCAGCCTAGATTTTAGGTCCACGCCTAAAAGACAGACCCATGCTGATTCGCCCGAAGCTTGGCCATGGGAAGGTTTTCTTCCGCAAACCGCACCAGTTGGGATCTGTGTGTCCCATTCATGAGGTTTCATGGTTCCTAACTGAGTGACTCGATTTTGTCCATCCACAGTACATGGATGTTTCTTTCTTTAGGGGACCTCCCCCCAAAAAATAATAATAATAAACACACACACACATGGTGGTTGTTGTTTTGGTCTCCGTTCAAAGACCACCAAAAAATGGGGTACCAACACACACGCACACAACAAAAAAACAACAACAACGAGGCACCCATAGTGTCTGGTCAGGCAATGACCCGTTCCTATTGCTGGGGCTTCTGTCACTTTTCGGGTTTGGCGTTTTGTTTTGTGGCGAACTGGCGCCGTTCGCTTACTTGGCCGAAGAAAAGACAGCTCGCAGACTTTGTGGTTCCAACTGCTTGCCCCCCTTTCGTTTTATTTCGCGGGAGCTCCGGAGCCTTTCCGTTCAACATGGGCAAACAAGAATCGCAGAGTGGGCAGGGTCAAAGGATGGGATGTGTCAAGAGATCCCCAGCCCACAAAACTCGAGTGAAAAGGGGAACCTGGAGTCTCCATGACCCTTGCAAAAGGGTCCATGACCCCATGATTTTGGCGAATGAACCTTTTTTTATTAAGGGTCAGAAGGAGACTCCAGGAAGGTCCCCTTGCACGAGTTGGGAATCCCTTTTTTTTCTCACCCAGCTCTGGGGGGAATCGTCCAAGATGGTGAAGGGACCAGCTCCCAGGGTCCCAGGGATATCAGAAGTTGAACATCACAAGACATGGCCCACAAGTCTTAGGGAACCACAGGTGGGTGGACCGGAATCCCCCTCAGCTGCCCACAGATTGTGGTCTAGGATTTTCGCAGATTTTCGCCCGCAGCTTGAAAAAATGAGAAGACCCATGTGTGTGGTGAATCAACATACCTGGAGTCGCCTTCTGACCCTTTAAAAATGGTTCATTAGCCAAAATCATGGGGTCATGGACCCCTTTTTAAAGGGTCAGAAGGAGACTCCAGGTATGTGCTTACGCTTGTTTTGGCCCATCTCGATCGGAAGTGAGAATTTGGACCTAGCACAGTTTGCAAAGCCAAAGACACAACACGGACAATCCTGCACCACCTTAAAAACCCTGAAACACCGATTTCCCATGCAAATACCAACAAACCATTGTTTCAACCATGGTTTCAACGTGGTGCGAGTCCGAATTTCGCAGCCATCCACAGTAATGTTAATCACGGATTAATAAACCCCTGGTTGATTAATAGGGGTTGGTGTCCCCTTTTGATGGGGAATCAGACCACTTTTGGAGGGAACACCCCCTTAAGAATGGGACCGGTTTCTTACTCCTGGGTCAACATTACGGCTCACCTCGTTCCCTGGCACCTCCGCTCTTGGCGGAGTTCGTTTCTGAGGTGGAGCCTCCGATCGCTCGCATCGTGGCTCGGGCGAAGCCTCCAATTTGTAGTTCGCTGATGGAGTCCCTGCCGCGGGATGCATAAACCCCCGTTCATTAATATGGGGCTGGTCTTTGGCCCCTCTAGTAGTCTGAATCCCCACTAAATCAGAATCGGACACCCGCACATAAGCAGCGTTTTATTAATCTGGGGAATCAAATCTTTCCCAAAACATGGTGCCTATGATGATGTTGGGTATTACTCGGTCTTGTACCGCAGATCCCATATTCTGGTTGTGAATCGGGCCTTTTCGTGTGTCCCAGCAAAGACAGGACCAGGCCCGCCTGAGTTCCCGGGTGTGTTTTTTTGTTTTTGCTTTGAGCATGTTAGTGGTAGATACCAAGTTTGACGTTGTGTGGCCCATCCGCTCACCGAGTGAGGCATCGAGTTTTGGGCGAGGTTCTATTTGTTTTTATTTGCTCACAACAAAAAGGCATAGCTCGCGTGCCTCCAGCTACCACTGCAGGCTTCTATGTCCTGAAAGGAATATGTTTCAATTTCGACTGCTGGCTTTTCCAGGGAAATCTTTCGCTGGAAACAACATGGAGACATATTTCCAGGAGACTTAAGCTAGACAAATGGAAGTAAACAACAGTTCATGCCTGTTTGGCCCGTTTCAGGAAGTGTGGGACGCATGTTGCCACGGCACGAAACAGAGTTCGCCCTTTTTTCCTTGCCCTTTCTCTCGTCAAGTTCAAACACGAGCCACCAAGCTGGTGCATCCGCCGTTTCCCTGCGTTCTTGCTTGGCAAGTCAAACAGACGAAAAGGGAAACAGTGGTGGCCAACAGTAGTGGCAACTATGTTTGGTTTGGTAGCTCATGTTTGGTAGCAGGAAAACACGGTGCCCTAGGCAAATCAGGATTGACTGTTTGTGTCTTGTGACAATTCCAAAACCCATGATCACTGACGAAGGGCGCATATTTTGCGATTGTTTGTTCATTTTTTGAGCTGTGTGAATCATACCATGTTGCCCCCATTTGCCAGATACCACCATAGACGTCCCTACCACAGGTTGTTTGACCCCATACTACAGCAATAGCTTGAGCACCTCACACATCGCATGTGCGAATGGAGACCGTGCTTGGATTTGCCCATTTTTTTTTGCTGAATCCAGCCGTTTCCACAGCCATTAGTGCCTTGGTGCCTTAGCTTCCATTGCGCTTGGTAAGGATGGTCATGGAGCTTCAGATTGACTTTACAAACAGGCAATCATCATCGTAGGCGTCGGTTGTTAGGCTAGTTCGGAGAGAAATAGCTGGGTTCCACTGGTTTAGATGAGTTTCATTCCATTCATCAGGGTCATCTATGTGTCCCAAAGGCCGCCTGTGGTGACCAGCAGTGAGCCTTGACCATCGCACCTTCTTTTTCGGCTGGGCCTTGGGGATCAGCCTAAGGCGTCAGTCAATGGTCGTCAACTCGACTTGAGCCACTGGTTCAAGGCCGATTCGGGTAGATGGTCCGGTTAGTAAGGGACAATCCCTTTGCCATAAATAGCTGCGGATATGTCCGCCTTAATTCTTGAAGCGTGGTTCTGGGATTACGGCCCTTTTCATACAGGGCTTTGACGATGCTCACTCGTGTCCAGCTTGAGATGTTCCAATCATCACCGGTGGTTGGCAAATGTCGAACTTGTTCTTAGGACCCCCCGAAATATCTCCCCCCGGCAAACACCACCTCCGCACATGGGCCATGCGAGTCAAGCACCAAAGGGGACCTTTTACAGGGGGTGAGTACTCGGCCAAAGCAGGCGTGGTCAGCAATGGCAGGTATCTCCACTTAGGAGTGGCCATAACCTAATAACCTATAGGTTCAACAATCCCTCCTTCTTGGTCGAGCAGCCAAGTGTATAGGGCACTCTGCTTTTAATCCCTGTGATTCTTGTCCAGATGACAACCCTTTCTCGAATGCATCCATAGCGCCTCCTTTGGGCGTGAAAGAAACGTGGCCACAGGCAGAATCCTTTTCTTCCATTGGCTGAAATGAACAGTTGCTTATTTTCCCATGTTGGTTGTAATCAATTTCAATATTGGCAATAAATGTTTGCATTGTTCAAAGGGTCTTAAGCAAATGGAGGTTTTGAGTAAAACTTTCATGAAGGTTTCGCTCTTGCCAACAATCGTGGCAGTGGCGGGGGGGGGTTCTCACTTGGGGTTCACAGATCTCGCCGGGTTTACTGCGATCTGAGGTGCACGCAGTGGGAGTGGACGTGGTAATGCTTTGCGACGCTCGGCTGTTTCAAGCAGGAGGCGAGCAGCGCCCAAACCGATTCTCATTGGCCGTTATGGGTTCTACGTTTCGCAGGGATTATGATAAGCTATGGTGCATTTTGCTTGGATGTTGGGACTTTAACTTTTTGCCAACTATTGGGTTTTCCATTAAACCACTAAAAGTTAAACTTTTAGCAGGTGTTGTGAGAAAACACCGGTATTTACAGTGCTTTGTCACCAAAACCTGCATCTGCCAGAACACACACTTTTCAGGCCCACTGTCTGCATCTGTCAAAAGCCTCTCATTTGCCAGCCAAGGCTGCAACCAAGCACTATGATTGCGTAAGGGCATCTCTTCAAGGAAGCGCTTTGGAAACTGATAAGACACTGAACAAAACTGAAAAAACTGAAGAAAAAGAAACTGAAAAAATGAAAAAGCTGAAAAGCCAAGGCAGGCATGTCCCCCTGAATCCTTGGTTTGCAGTTTTTGTTTTCAGTTTGTTCAGTTTTTTTTTCTTCAGTTTTCTCCTAGTATTCACCTTTATTATTCCCCTAGTATTGTCTGAGCAACCAAGCACTATGATTGCGTAAGGGCATCAAAACTGAAAAAAAAACGGAAAAAACACAGGAAACAACTGGAAAAATGAAAATCTGAAAAACATGAAAAAACAACTGAAAAACCAAGGATTCAGGGGGACATGGGGGCGCCCCAAGGCATGTCCCCCTGAATCCTTGGTTTTTCAGTTGTTTTTCTCATATTTTTTTCAGTTTCTCCTAGTATTCACCTTTATTATTCCCCACCTGAGAGGTCAGACAAATTGAGCTTGAGAGTATAGCCCTCGTCCCTCAGCATTCCCCTAGCATTCTCCCAGTCTTCCTTGAGTATTTCCCTAGTATTGCCCTGTCATTCCTGAAATATTCTCTTGGTATACCCCTAGTGTTTCCTCACTACCCCCCTAGTGTTCCCCAAATACTTCACTAGTGATGAAGGAAGGGGAATATTGACTGTTTGTTTGACTAACTAATTGAACTTGCCAACTTTTGCTGCTTGAACTTGAAAAATATGCGTTTCGCAGAGGCGAACATACACATGTTTCTCAAAAGTTGCATTTTTCCAGTGATTTTGGCAATTGTCCAGGTTCAAAACCTAGGTTTTGTACCCGCATACTTGCACGCTACCCAGCTTGACTGAGGACATGTTGGACCTCCTTTTCGAGGAAGTCGAGAAGGAAGGCGACTTGCCGCGAACCACGGCTTCACCAACAACGAATTGGAGGGAACTTGGATCATTGTTTTGACTCTTTGGGGTTAACAAAGTCAGGCAGGAATATTGCCCTTCTAACCTAGCACTTGGGGTGACGTTGATGGTAAAATAATGCGGTCAGTTAGAGGGAAGGTTCCAGACCATTTCTCAGCGGGTTGCGAGCCCTTTGTTGTCTTCTTCGGAGGACATTTCCCTGCGTGAGGTCTGGGGTTCTTTTCTAAAAGTGGGATTCCGGATTGCTCTTGTCAGGACGAATAAGCCTGGGTGGTAGCCCTCAGCCACCCCCGAACTCTGAGCCATGTCCCAAGCAATGCAGCTTTCAAGGTCTGTTTGGCCACCGCATCTGCACTGCTCTTGGCATGTTTGTTAATTTTAGTTGGTTCTTCCGGTCCATCCCTAGTGGGGGGGGCTGCAAAGGCACCTTTGTTGCCGCCATACCGAGGCTCGAGAAGGCACGGTAAAAGTCATGATCGTTTAGATATTGCCAAATCCACCCAATGCACCACCGTTCGCAACTGGAATGATTCGAGTCCCCTGTAAATACCGTTCCGAATGCTATGGTTTCAATTCTGGCTTCATTTCGTGGTGGGGTTTCGGATTTCGCAGCCATCTACAGCATGTCATCTCTTGCGGTTAGATAAATTAGGGTTAGGAGAACAATGGCCCACTTGGTAGATAGCCCACAGTGGTTTGTGCCTAAGGCTCATCTGCAACCCTGTATCTTTTCTTTGCTGTCAGCAGGCTTGGGCCAGTTAGATTTCCCGCCGCATCGCTCGCCGTGTGTTTTGACATGTCGTGAGAAGCGGCTGGCAACAAAAAGCCCCTGCGGTCTTCTACATTATGTTTATCGTTAGGGCAGACTTAGTATGGTTGCCGGAAACTGAACGTTTGGGGGGTATCTTTTTGTGAGGTCTAGTAACGTGCTAACAGACGTAATACTTGCTATCTCCGCTCGTCAGTTTGAATATAATCTAGTCTTCTGATCACCGGGAAACCAGTTAGAACAAATGAGGACAGTTAGGATACATATTTAGATGAGACACTTAGAATATCCTGAAATCGTGCAATTCGTGTGCAACTCACCGGAATTGGCCCACCCTTGCCGGGACCAAACAGATAGATGTGTTTTGTCAGATAGACTATTTGAGCAAGGGCCGCGTGGTTGATGTTGTGGCCTCACACGCATGTTTTTTTGTTTGTTTGTTTGTCAAATATGGTATTGCCCTTGTCAAGTTCCATTGGATTCTATTAGACAATTGAACAACATCCTCCTGGGAAAGAACACCCTCTTTAAACTCTAAATTGAAATATGAAGTCTATTTGAAATCTACGTAATTCAACACATCTTCAATAAGGAAGTCGTCTTTTAAATTCTCTTTGCAGCTAGTTCTGCGCGCTCAACAAAGCCTGCTGGCTATGCATCGACAGAGCAAATTCACGTCGAAGTGCTCAATGTGGATGGCAGGAATAAGTTGACGGTAGGAGTCCTGAAGGACATTGCCACAAACGAGCCGCGTTGGTGAGGGGGTGGGTGAGGGGTGGGTGAGGGGTGGGTGAGGGGGTGAGGGGGGAGTGTGTGAACATGAGATCAGATGACATGCCGTGCGTCGGTGCGTGCAAGCGCAATTTTCAGGAATTCGGGGAATTCCGAAGAGGTTGTCGCACGCCGTTGTGTCCGGGCAGAGAATTGAAGAGGTGTTATCATGGCCGGATGGACGAAATCCATTTCGCACCATTCAACGACTCCTTCTGTAAATACCAAGAAACAATGGTTTCCCATGGTTTCAAAGTGGTGCAGGATTTGAATCCACAGTATATTCAATGTTTGCAAGTTTCTGCAAGAGATGGTAATTCGGCAATTGGAACCGGCGTTGCGACCACAAGTGATGTTGGGTAACGGAATGTTGTCCGAGTCATCGGCAGTGGGTCAGGCAATCTATGCTGCAGATTCAATGCAACGCATGCCCTTAGAAAGCTTCAAGAGTTGTTTCTTGACTGGCGGTGTTATCTGGGATATGTAAGTTTATCACGTTGCAAATTACCAGTCTCCACGACCCTTCAAACATGCCGTCATTCCCCAAAAGAAAGGGGTGATGGACATCCCCAGGATGGAAGCGTCGCGTAGATTCCGGGTTGGGCGAATTAGTACCCTCCCACCAATTAAGATGGAGCCGGACAGGTCCTGGAAGACCATTTGTTCCTTTTAAAGGGACTTTTTGTCAGGTTCCATGTCAATTGTTGGGATGGTATAGGAAATCATTCACTTTTCTCGCCCCCGGTTTCTCTTTGCAGGCATGCTGGGCATGCCCTTCGCCATGCTCATTGAGAACATTCTGAGCGCGGGCCTTAGGGACCAAAGACCTCAAAGACGGCAGCCAAGGGGAGCTGAACACGCCAAGGGTTTGGGCTGGTACAGCCTTTGATTTGGGTACTTTGAATCCAAATTAAGTCATGATTCTAATAAGATCACGTGTGTTGTTCATCCCCTGTTGCACCCACAACAACCACAAAAGAACCTCAAGCTGGCAGAGGTCACCACTTCTAAGGTGTTCCTTTTGGGGGTTCGATGTCAATTTGCAGGGTGACACAGCCAAATCTCAGAAGGCCTTGCCGGTTGGGGGCACATGGATGGACAAAATCCGCACCAGCCGGGTGGTTTATGCCAGTTTGAACCATTTGGAGGGATGTTCAGTGTTGGAGTGCTTGTTTGGGAAGGGGAACAAGGGGAACGTTCTAATCTTCCGCGTTTCATCACGGCTTTGTGAATGAGTGCGATTGGTTTACTTTTGCTATGTTTTTGTTGCATCCCCTGAAGTCTCCAAGTGGCTGCCAGATCCTGGAACATCATTTTCCTTGCGACCTGGGCGGTCACCTTTGGAAGGAATTCGCAATCGGGGGTGTTGAGGTGTTCCAAGAGGGATGATACATACAGTCAGTGGATCCATTTATCCTCCCTACCACCAACATTACACCTGTGGAGGGTACCTGGAAGATTGGTTTCCTCTTCAAAGTACCTAATGTCAGGTGCTACGTTAGTGGGAGGGAGGGTACCTGGTTTGGCAGTTTTGTAGGTAACCAAGGCCTGGCCAGCCTTGAAACAACCCAAAGGAGGATAGCTGGTCAGGGCTCCTTAAAAGACACATTTTGCCCATTTGAAACATGGCTTTTTCCACCAAAATAAAGGGAATCCACCAATTACAAGGCAATGTTCAGGTGTATAATGTAAGGATCCCTGCTGGTGACCTGCTAGAAGGGTAACTGGTATCCTCTGGGATAAACAACAACCCAATGGTTTCATAGTAGGCCTACTCCTAGAACCAATCCCACTACTCGGAAAATGCCGACCACCGCAACCCGTAGAGTTCGGGTTGCTTCGCCCCGGAGGGGTCAGTGTGCAAGTGGATTCCACCCCTTAGGCCAGGGTTTCCCTTGAAAATCCATCAATTTTCCAGGACAGGACCTAGGGGTTGTTTATTTCAGGTGACCGTTGATTGGTGGATTCGTGGTTTGGGGATTTGAACCGGTTCTTGTAGAGGGTAAATTGGACACCACCCCACCACCAAATCACCGATTCGGTTCCAAACCACCCTCTTTGAGGGAAGCTGAGAATTGGTACTGGCAACCATGGGGCAACTCCCCCCCTCAGGCCTGGGACCCCTCAAAAGGTGGGCCTTCGCATTTTCCACCTCCTCCAGTGTTTCCCTTTGGCTTGGAAGGGGTTCCCTTTGACATCAACAAAGCAAGGGTGCTCTGCTTCCCTTTTGGGCTTCTGCATGAAAAGGAATCCACCTTTAATAGCACAAAGAGGGCTTCTTTACAGGACCCATGTGTTTGGCTCGTTTTGCGTGGATGTTCCTTGTTCTGGTTGAAACCATGGTCCGGAGGCTAAGCTGTTGGTACTGCGCCGCCACTTCGCCACTTCACCCCCTTGAAATGTTGACCCAGGATGCATAAACCTCTCGATCCTTTTTTATTAGGGTGTTCCCTCCAAAACTGATGAACCCCCACTAAACCCAGTTGGACACCCTATCAATTAACTGTGGTTGATGAATCTGGGCTCAACATTGACCCCGGACTGGTTAACTTAGTGGATTGGGTGTATGCATGGGCCAAAATTCGCCCCCAAACCAGCCCCAATGCACAATACTTTGGACGGACGCAATCCTGGACCACTTTGCAGCCAGAAAAACCATGGTTTTTGTTGGTATCTACAGGGGAGTCACCATCCCATCCACAGTAGTGATATACCGCCAGACAGCCATGGCGGGGTGCGGGGGTAGCACCTTAGCCGGTTTGGGATACCTGTTCGGGGAGGGGGAGGGGGGTTGGCTACAAGCCGTTGAGCGACCACTCCCAGCCCATCTAAGCAGACAACCCAAGCTTCCATTTGTTTAAGAATATGTGTTGTTTTCCGCTGTCAGTTTGACTATCACTGTTGTATTTTCGCCCAACAGACTTAACTAGGTCCCCCAGTAGTGCCCTTTCACCTTTTTTGGGGGAGGGTTCCCCTACTAAAATAGACCACTACCCTTATTCTAACCTCTCTACTGGAGGACCTAGTTAAGCAAATTGGGGCAAACTGAGACCTCGATCCGTAAGGCATGCGTGGCTCCAATCCGGCCAGGGTCAAGGCCAGAGAGATTTGCCATGGCTTGCTGGTGTGTCTCTGCGTGGTATTTTTGAGGGTACCCGTCTAACAGGGCTTTTGACACCTTGCCTCCACAATTATGATATCTGTGTTTTGTTCGCCTAAATATGAAGCATCAGCTGCACTTAATAATCTGTGTGCCCCAGATGTGGGCCAATGCGGATTCTTGGTTCTGTTTGTGCATGTGATGGATCCTCAAGTAACGGAATTTGGTCACAAGTTGAATGAAAAGGCTGTTGGTATGAAGTGGGACATTGATTCCTGCAGCCATGTCTGATAAATTCCGGTAGATCGGCGGCCATGTTGGGAGGCTTCGAATGGCAAGTTGAGACTGATACACAGGGGCGACTATGCCATTCAGCAACACTCAACCTTAAACGGATTTCCATCTAGGTGTTTCGTACAACATATGTGTCTTAAAATAGGGCTCCCGGACCCAAACATGGTACGGATCCATTGTGTTCTCCCTGTTTCTCACTCCCTGAGTTTCTGGACTTCATGCTTGTGGGGTAGACTTTGTTAGTGGCAAACGAGAAGCTCAGGCTTTTTGTTGGCCACTCCACCCGATCGGAAGCGAGGTTTTCATTGGCCCATTTGTTGGTACCCTTTCGACAAAAAGCACGAGCCAGCTCTGAGGCTAGTCTCAGCCGGGGATCGATCCAAATCCCCGCCGCGGTTTTGAAGGAGATACTTTCAGTTGCTCAGTGGCACCAATGATTTTTCCCTATATTTTTGTTTGGTGGCCACACGAAAAATTTGGTCTTCCCCAAAAAGGGTTCCCTTTTTTTCCAGGGTCACTGAACAACTGAGCACCCAGTTGGTGGCAAAGCTGAGAAAGCTAGGGTTCAGCTCAGTGGTTTCCTCCAAATTTTGGCTAAGATGTTGGAGTTTCAGTGGAAATAGATGGGAGCCTGATGTCCATTTCGGGTCCAACTTGAATCTCACAAGAGTCCGAGTCCCCTAGATGTGTTTTGCACCCAGTGAGTCGTAAACATGGCGAGCGATCGCCACCAGGACGCGATCGCCACCCTTCTGTCTCGGGCGATCAATCACGCCAGGATTGCGTGGAGCAGATCAAGATGTTCAAGCTAGTGACCTGGCAGAAGCCTCCTTTTGCTCCTATTTTTTCTTTGGTGCATGTTGCTTGGATGTTAGAACTTTAACGTTTTGCTAACCAATGGGTTTTCCACTAAACCACTAAAAGTTAAACTTTTAGCAGGGGAGCAGAAAGCAACCGAGATTTTGCTCTAGGGGTGGAGTCCGAGTGTCCATTCTGTTCAACCAAATCCTTCTTTCAAGAACCCGCAGGTTCCCCTGATTTCTTGGGGATGGTTTCTTGAAAAGAAGGATAACGGGGAAGCTGGAACTAATTCGGTTAGTTTTTGAAAGACCGAGCCAAAAGGAAACCCCATGCCAATTTTGTTTGGCTTGTTCACCTTCAACCCTGGTGGGTGGTCTTTCAATTGCTCTTGAACTTGTTCCTTTTTGGGGGGTGGGGGGTAGGGTCCTGATTGTCTTGGTTGTTTGGGATGCCGAATCCACCTCAATTCCCCGCTCAAAGTGCTACCTTGGGTTACCCAGGGGGTCCACAAATCTTCGTGGTTTCCCCGCAAAAAAAGATGCGGAACATCGGACTAGCCAACAGCCCTAGAAGAGTCATTGAGAGCTCAGGGTCCGGCATCCCAACTGCAGGTGTCGATTTCACCTCTTGGCTGTACTAGGGCGGGGGGTTGTCTCCTTTTTTTTGTTTGGTGGGGGGGGGGGGTCTTCCAAACATGGCTTGCCAACAAAAGGGGTGCCACTGCCACTTCTTGGGTGCATTTTGCTTGGATGTTAGGACTTTCACTGTTTGCCAACGAATGGGTTTTCCCATTAAACCACTAAAAGTTAAGCTTTTAGCAGGGGAGCAGAAACCAACCGAGACTTGTTCTTTTGGCCCCTAAGGTTTTGCCCTCCATACAGTGGACCCTGAAACTCATGAAGCAACCATAGGGGATGGAGAAAAATCCATTTCGCGCCAGTTGGGATCCACGAAACCCTCGATGAATGGGATCATCCAGCTACCAAATGGTGCGAAGTGAATGTTGCCCATCATCCACTGTGCGGCTATTCGATTTTCCACTGACTCCTTGTCTGCTGCCCCCTGGTTTTATTTGCCGCTCCCCACCCAGCCTACCAAAGCTCTGTTGCGTTCCAGCTGACAATGCGACCGCAAGAAATCAGGCATCCCGGTGCTAAATAGAAACCGTATTGATTGATTTTTCCCGCAAGGGCAAAAGGGGATAGGTATCTTCTTCAAGTGACTTGCTCAACATCCGGTCTCCTCAGCGAAAACTAGCTCTTGGGCAGTGGTCCGTCTTTGCACTTTTTGGGTTTCCCATGGTTCCAATGGTTGCTCACGGTTCCAATGGTCAACCTTTTATTTCCAGGTGAGCTTTTGCGCTTAAATGAGGAAATACAATCGCTTCCGCATGCATGGTCCTGGGGAAAGTTGGTATGACTTTGCTTCAGAGATACCAAGGGAATCTCAAAAGAAACAAAGTAGTCATACGGGACAGCCCATGTTGGTATCACAGCAAGATATGTTCACACCCGTATCCACATTGGTTTTAATCCGTGACTGCACGCCCAGATTCTGCACGAGCGGAATGAGAGTGGCTTGGCTGGTATATATGAGCTGCTTGGGTCAAAGCCAGCAGGACCCCCTACCACCCACAACACAATTCGAACCAATCTAACAAAAACCGTTCTAAGGAGGTTCCAAGAACTGTGTTTTTAGTTTCCCTTTTTAATGAACTTCTCATGGCAGGTCGGTTTAGCCACCAAAGGATTGTGTGACTTGCATGATTTTTTTCCCAAAGACGGATTTCTCTATGGGGTTATTCATGTTAACAGTTGCAACTCCCAATTGAATGGCAAATGCCGTTGCCCTCCCTTTTGGGACCTTGCGGCTTCTTTTTGGAAAACACTTAAACTGTAACTTTTCAAGGCCCTGTAACTGGCGTAAACAGTCGAACCCTCCAAAACTCGTGGCCTTGCTACCAGTACACATTTGGAACACAATCCAAATGCCCACGTTGTTTTTTTGCGGGGAATCATGGCGACCCTGACGAAAAGTGTTTTTGCTTTTCCACCTCACTGTTGCATGTTGCATGGGCATTTGGGATGGACGGGTGGCAGCGGATCATGCGTTTCAGCGAATCATGCATGGCAGCAACTTGGCGTGACAGCCAAAGGTTGGAGTCTTCAGGGCCCACGATGAAAGTGAGGTTGGGCAGACTCAGTTGCTCAAAGCCAAGCTTTTGATTTTTGGCTTTTCCTTTTTGGTCGATTTTGAGTCATGGCCCCAAAAGGTTTACCTTTTGTTTCCAGGTCCTTTGGGCAAGTGAGCAAAGGAAAGGGACCAGGACCAACCATGTCTTTACGGGTGAGAAGGAGTCTCCAAATGAAGTGCACCAAAGCTGATTGAAAAGGCACTGACCAGTGAAGAGGCACAACTGCTTGTGTCAAGGATCTGCAGAGGCTGCACTGGGTCAGAGTTGCAGCACCCAACAGATCTCATTGTTGTGGAGAAGTCTGACGGCACATCCGAGGAAGTCCCGTTCGAGGGTCTTTACGACCTTCTCGATATCGCTGAGGCTCTCCCAATCTATTCCACCGATCTCCTGCCCCTCCACATGTCCATGATTGGCAGTCTCATGGCGAGTACGGCGGTCAGGGGAGGACATTTTCGGAGAGGTGGCACATTTCCACGTGCTGGAAAGTGCGACGCAGGCTACATTGGAGAAGCCAGCGAGCAGTTCCAACAGAAATACGAGGAAGGCGCGTGTTGCTGACTCCAGGCGAATGCAGGGGATCTTGGCTCTTTGGGTGCACGGCTGAACTGGCAGCTTGCGGCATTTTTCCGCAACTCTGCCATGACTTCATCAGCCAATGGGAGGAGAGCGCATCAGCAGCACATTTTGGATGGGTGGAAAAGCCGCTGCAAATTCCCGACAGGAAACTAGAGGCACATCTTATAGGATTGGAAGTGCAATGGCAGGCTCTGTTCTTTGTTCTCTGTACAACTTTCTTGCGACTTGCCATGTACTGGTGATCACAATGGTGAAGTCGCTGTTGACTGAATGACACAGTCAGATCTTTGGTCAGTAAATGGGTATGGATTAAACAGGAATTATTCTATGCCTGTTCGCAAATATGGAGCATTTGAGGTATCATGTCGGGTACGCTTGATTCTCAGTTGGTTTCCTGAATATTACAATCGAACCAACTGCAAACTTTGGTCTCATCTTGTGGTGTTTTTAGCTCTGTTGCCCAGTGGCGCCCTTTTTCCTTTTTTTTGGGGGAAGGGTTCCCCTTTAAACTCAACCAACCAACAAAAAGATGCCCTTTTTTCCCATAACCACTGGGTATGTGAGTTAAAGGTTACCTACTTGGAAAGCTTGGCATCTTTTTGAAAGATATATAAATAAAACTAGACATAAATGCCTAAATAAAGAAGAATAAAAGGGTTTCTGCCAATGCGAATCACTGATTGACGATGGCCCACGGGCCAACCGGAGGTCTGATGAAGAAGCTGAAGAGAGAGTTTGACACGCTCAAGCTGGACATGACCGACATGAAGGCAAGGAAGAAACAGAGGGAACGCAAGGCGATCAGACAATTACCTTTCATTTGCTTATAGCAATATTGTTTTTAAGTTTTCCCTACTGGCTTTAAAGAGAAGCTGTTACTTCTGGACACGTTGTTTTTCCAGACAACTCAAGCAAATGGAAGCTACCCCCCGACTTCCCCACTTCTGGTTGCCTTTGGAGTCTCCTTCCAAACATGGGGAATTCCATCACCCCTTTCTTTTGAGTAGTGACCCCATTTTTGAAGGGTCGTGGAGACTCCGGGCATTTGTTTAGTGTCTCAACAAGTCGATCAGCTGTGATGTTCTGTTTTTTTTTTGCGCTTCCCCAAAGAGTCTTTTGGTACCTTGGATAGGCTTTGAGAGGCTAAAAGTGGTGAATTGATACCCTCAATACCTTGACCTTGAAATCCAAACAGACAAGGAACCTCGCTCCACAGAAGCTGACAGACGGTAGAAGAACAAGTGGTCGTTCAAGGGCCGCTCAGCTTCCGTGTATGTAATTTGAGTGACAGACTGCCTTCTAATCCCACGGTTTGAGCTTTTGGGGGACATGGAACACGTGGTGCCACGGTACCATGAGTTTGTCCCCTGGAAAGTAAGAACGTATCCATGGCGGTGGGACTCCGTATCACTTTGGCACTACAGATTTCGAGCATATTTTCACATGTTCCCCCGTCTCCCCAAAATCATGTGAGGCTACGGAAGCCTTATGAGTCAGGCCTTCTCACTCCCTGAGTCCCTACACTGTCTAGTGGCAAACAAGAAGCTCGATTGCTTTGTTTTGGCCAGACTAACACAGGACGTGACCTTCAGATCCATTTGAGCCACAATCAAAAACCCCGGGTATGATAATCCAAGAATTCAATTTGGGTGTCATCGCCTTGTTAATTCTCTGTATATGGTTCTGGGGATCGTGCATTTTGTAGCGATCAGTTTTGTTTATGAGCCTTCGGACCATCGCCATCCAAAAACTTCTCAATCGAGTATGTTGGGTATCGGGGGGAGGTTTCGCTACCCTTCTTGTCCAAATGGGGTCCCCCCCTTTGCGGGCTGCATTATCGTTCAACCTGGTCTTCTCAGCTTCTTAACTGCCATTGAGTTGCCTTGCCAGATGCAAGCTTTCTGTTTGCTTCAGGCGTGAATAGTAGTACGTTGCCCAATTTGACATCTTACTGTTTGGTGTCAATGGTGAGTTGCCCACATGCATACGACATAAGCAGCCTGGCGACTTGGTGCGTTCATTTGGTTGAAGTTATTCTAACCAGGGGATAGAAGGTTTATTTATAACACAGACACTCCCCGCCCCAATGTGGAGTTATACATGGGCTTGTAAACCTACCCACGAGTTAGACAAGTTACAACCACCAACTAATTAGACAAGTTACACCCCGACGGAGAAGCAAACTGAGGGCGGCCGAGTACAGACTCCCCGCAAGCGACGCCGCAGGACGACCTCAAAGACCTTCGGGAAGCCGAGGCGCCTCCAACTGGGGGTGGGGCGAGGACTCCGTGTCTGAAATCAGAGTTCCATTTGCTTCAGTCAGCTCACCAGCTGCCATTCGGTCAGCTCAGCTGCCATTCGAACAGCGTCCAAGCTCAAGACGCGAGTAATCAACACCTTGGTACCAAAGGGCCTACCCAATTGCATGAACTGCAAAGGAAAGGTACCTGGAGTCTCCTGATCTCATGATTTTGGCTAATGACCCCAGTTTTGAAAGGGTCATGGAGACTCCAGGTATTTCTTGGGGTAGCCCTTGTGATTTGGTTTGGAGTTTTCTGCCAAAAGGAAACCAGCCTTTTTGGATTTTGGGGTGTGCCCTTAAAACAGCCACACTCATGTCCCCTTGATTCCAAGGTTTAATCATACTGTGGATGGTTTCGAAGTTTAGAAACAGCACCACCGTTCAGAAACCATGGGAATGAAACCATGAGTTTGTTGGTGCTGTACAGTGGAATTGCATCATTCCAGGGTTCGCATCCATCTACAGTCTCGCTTTCTGAATTTTCTGGATTTGATACTTGTTTTAAACAAAAAGAAAAAGAGCCGCGTTTGGTATAAGTTCAGACTGCAGCCAATCCACTCGATCGGACGTGAGCAGCAGCCAGGGGAGCCATGGAAGGTTGTGGCCGAATAGCTCCCTTTTCGTGTCACCAACAATCTGCAATGGCTCTCCCCATGGTCTGGATTATCATGCAGGCGCCTTAAGCAATTGAATTGGTGGGGGTCCAGAATGATTTGAGAGTATGTGCAGCATGTGCAATTCTGTTCTACCCAACTGTGGCTTAAAGGGAATCAATTTGTTGACGTTCTATTTTCCAACTTAAGTCCACTGTTAGTGGCACCAAACGGTTAAGCATTTATTCCGGGCAACGGAGTGTCTGTTATTTTGGGATGGTCAATACATCGCCTTGGCCCAGGGAGCTTCCTTTTGGTGCGATAAACAAGTTCAGCTACAGTGATTCCTACCCTTCACACTACTCTGAAACAAATGGCCACCCGCTTTTGATGAAGCTCCGATTGACAAATTTCCCGTTTGTGTTTTTGAACCCAACATAATGTTGGTACGTGAATAACCACTCACTCCGTGGCCGCATGGCCATTTCAATTTCTGGAGGGTGGGGCCCCTGAGACATTCATCCGACCAAAAAGGTGCGCCAACTCGAGATCCGCTACGCAGTCTGAAAGTCATGCGACTTCCGTCGCAAAGGGCGATGGTAGTGGGGTGTTCTCAAAGCTCAGAAGCGATTCTACTGGTCTGGCCAAATGGAGAGGCGACTCCGACCACCATGAAAGTGTGGATTAGGATTCCATGGTTGTTTAGTTGGCATATGCTGGCATAGTGATTTCTGGGGTCTCCTTCAAATCATGTTGATTTTTGGGTTGACTTTCATTCTGACTCAATGAGTTCCTGGACGTTAAGCTTTGGGGACGACCAATTTATGGTGGCAAACACGAAGCTCTGATTATGAAGGTTCTTTTTGGTGTACCCAAGACTTGCTCCAACATTTGCCCATACCAATGGCCGCACTGATGCAAGAACACGACTCACAGACTGGTCCAGGAGGACGAGGTGCATTTCGACAAGGGGTGAATCTGAGTTACATATACTGGGGTCATTATTTTGACGGTTTCTGGGGGTTATCAAAGTGGCGTTGTTTCCCTTAAACCCACCACTTAGGGGGTGACTTTGATCCTATAGCAAAAAAAAATAAGGCCAGATATATTGTACTCACCAAGGTTGATTGCGAGGCGCTAGGATGGTCGAACTTACAAAGGCAGCTACTCTCCTGGATCACATGGCCATGGGTCAAAATTCAGAATCCAAATCGTACCTCCAGAGAACATCAACCAATCCAACCACAAAAATAGACGAAAATGGGTGGTGCACCGAAAACCCCCAAAATGGGATATTGGTTTTGACCAACCACATGGCCTCTTTTCATTCCGCCAGCAAACAAAGTCGTCCAGGCAGGGAATCCCAGGGGAAAGGCATCTCCTTTTTGGGTTCTATGTTCACCTGTGCACTGTTTTCAAGCTGAAGCACGTACCAATGTGTGCAAAAAAGGGCCTCACGTTCCCAGTGAGTGCACGTTAGTCAGTGTTTGGAGGATTATTTGAGTGGACTTTGCTTGACCAATCCATTCATTGGTTTCCGGATGGCTGCGTTTTTGTTCGATAGCGCATTGAATCAGGGAATGACCCTGAAAAAGCCCGTCCCTTGTTTTTTCTTCCTTCATCCCCCATTCAATTTCCCTGTTGATTCTCTATCAAACCAGCCTGCGACTCGACCCCCCTTTTTGGTCCCCCCGCTCCCCCCCCGCCAGCCGGCCGCCCGCGCGAAAAGCGCAAGGTCCGCGAGAAGCAGATGAAGCTGATGCGCCCCCCCGAGGACTCCGACTGAGGCGTTGGACGAGCCCAGACACCCAGTGGCTGCAGATGTGGCTCGCTTTCTTTCCCAGGACACCTTCGGTGGTTCTGTGGGTTCCAAAGGAAACCACAAGGGAAAAACCAGCACGTTTTTTTTTTTTTTTTTTTTTTTTTTTTTTTTACGTGTTTTTTTTTTTTTGGGGGGGGGTCCCAAATATACATATTATATATATATATATGTACACACAAACGAAATCGTTTTTGCAACTAGTTTTTTCTCGAAAAGGTAGGCCCCTCTATCGACTCAGAAAGGGTGCCATTGTGTGGTTATGGAAATCGACAGAAAGTCTGGGACGGGGATCGGATCCTCCAAAATGGTGGGTTTCCTTGTGGTTTTCCTTCAGAGCTGCAAACAAAATGGGTACCCTAAGAACATGACACACCCACATATTGTGTCGTGCCCCCGATTCGGCCAAGTAAGGGTTGCAGTTGAAAGCAAGGTCTACCCTCATATGCACGGACCGTGAAGCTGTTTTGTTAACTTGTGCAGCAAGTTGCCCAGATCGTTGGCCGCAAGTCAGGGTACATTGGGGTTGTCTCAAAATCGAGGAACCCTCAAGTCATTGGTTCCTCATTGGTTTGAGTTTAAACTAACCCCAACAAGGGTACCCAGCACCAGGTGGATTTTTTTTTGGTAGAGGACACGGAACCAGCCACAAAGCAGGTGCTCGTTTCATGGGCTGGTTGCAATTTGGCTGTACTCATGGGGGTGGCTGAAAACCCGGTTCAGCACCCTTGCCCGTCGATGTGCGATAAACTGGTCCATCCCAACAAGGGTTCCCGTTTTCTATCGGTGAACGTCATTGTTGCTTGGAATCACCCAGTGATTCCAGGTGGATGCCGCCTGCATCACTCGGCAGCAGGGTTGCTAAATTGACATGAACGTAAGCAATTTGAGTGGTGCTTGGATTGTGGTTCTGAGCAAATCGGCGGGAGGTTTCTCAAAATTGTGGCCCCTTTGGTTCGTACTTAAAGGGACACCAAAAGAAAACTCACCATGTTCGGGGGGTTTCCCTTGTTGAAGATGCACACCCCATGGATTTCCACAGAATCCGATCCTTGTTGTTCTTGGCCTATTTATTGCTTGCATGCACTCCCTTTCCAATCGGAAATGAATGAAACATATTTCAACTGGATCATCATGGTCTCCCACGCTGCGATGCGCGCGAGCTCTCGCCGATGTTTCAAGCGGGAAAAAGGCGGGGGGAGTCTGCAACTTCCCTCCTCAGATGATTGCTTTTTGTGAACAGCCTGAAGGTGCGTCCGGACGGTGGTGTGTACGGGGGCTCAGGGCTCCCAGTTTCTTGCATGCAGTCCTAGCACGTGTTCATTGTGCGAATCGCCACTTGGAACTTTTCGGGAAAACCATGGGTGCTCCATTTCTATTGGGCGTGGAGCAACCCAGCTTGGATTGGCGAACTTGTTTGCCAAACAAGACACCTCTCAAACCCGCGCGTTGTTTTTTGCGCTAGTTGAGGCTGAGATCCAGTCTGCAACATAGGATACCTCTAGACTTTCGACCTCCCTGTTGAACGTTCGCATGCAAGCCAACAAAAGGAAACCGGCCATTTGTCAGGATTCGTGGTTGTGGGGGGGGGGGACATGGCATAACCTTGGCAACTTAGGATGTACCAAAGAGGGGTCACAGAGGGGTGAAAGTACAGCCTCACAAAGTATTAAGAGACCCTCGGGGTTGAACGACAGGGTCAACCAATTCGACCTGATGTGCGATGTTCATCTTCTCTTTTCCGACTCGTAAATGCCATCCGGGCAAGGCAGATGCGGCGAGTGAGAGAGACGAAGCTTAAAGCGCTCGCTCATGGGCGCCACAAGAGGCGTCCGTGGTCTTTGTAAGGCCTACCTGGAGTCTCCATGACCCTTAAAAACTGGGGTCATTACCATCATTACCCAAAATTAAGGGGTCATGGACCCATTCTTAAGGGTCATGGAGCCTCTAGGTACGCGCTACCCCTGGCCAAGTCCGGTTCTTCTCCCGTCGGCAGTACCCACCTGGCACAGGCCTCGCTTCACGGTTTGGAAGTTGGGCAGCCTTCACCTCCCACTCTGCGTTCGATCCGTTTTGGGAACATCCGCGAATAATTTTGTTTGGAACGTGGGGCGAAAATCCCAGAGCGTTTGAGCACAGAGGGCCATCGAAATTCTTCGGGCGTTCGGGGATCAAAGGCTTGCCGATGCGACCAAATTCGCCCCAATCGAGCGCCGGAATGCTTTGTGCCTCGAAGTGTCTCACCCGAAACACGAGCGTTTACTCCGCGCTCCCTCGAAAATGAGGGTCTGCACACCGCCTCGTGCATGTAATGTATCTTGTTCGCCAAGCGTATCAGGTTTACTGCGGAATTAAGCCTGCACCACCTCAGAAAGCATATGGTTGAAACCATAGTTTGTTACGGAATTTACAGTGGAATCGATTCAGAAAACAGGGTTTCTGAGTGGTGCGTTGAATTTGATTTCGCAAGCATCCACAGTATGGGGTCCCTTACAGTTGCCCAGGTCAAATCTACTGCTTGCCTGGCAATCAGCTTCAGTGGGAACTCGGGATCAATCTTCGAAGTCCAGGAATGCAAACCAACGGGGCAGATGTTGCTTCCCCAGCGCCAAGCTTTGGGTCGGCTGTCTCCACCTTGAGAGAGTGTGTGTGTGTTTCTTTGTTTAAATAAGACGAATCCACAAGCCGCCAATGATTTCAATGCTTGTTCTGATGTCCTGCTCCTGACCCCAAACTTGGTCAACCCCAAAGAAGGTCCCTCCTTATTTCTGCCAGGGTCAAACTCTTTGGACAGCTTGACTCGCCTGCCTATGGCGAGCTCACCGGTTCGGAGGTGAAAGGTTGTTGGGAATCCCGATATTCAGGTTTGGGTTTGTTTCTGGCGTTTGCTTGTCCTAGGTACCTAGATACTTGTTGTTTTGTTTTTGGCTTTGTAGGGTTTGGCGGTAGTTTCCACTAAGCCACTAAAAGTTAGACCTTTTAGCAGGGGATCTGAGGACAGCCCAGAAGAAAGTTTTTTTTTTCCCCTACTTGCGTGATGGTGCCGTTAGTGCTGGATCTTTCTTGCCGATTTGCGGTTGTTTGAAAGGAAAGTAAGCTGGTGCCCCCTCGTAGGGTGAGCAATGGACTGAGTCACGTGTTGTTGCTTAGGGAGATCCCATCGTAACCACCAAAGGACCGATTGGTACGCAGGCGTTCTGCAGGCGGGTGACCATGTTAGCAGAAGAGCTGCGGTGAAACAGTTGAGCGCGAGCGGTCTGGGTCTACAGCCCTGCAAGTCCAATTCCTCGCTTCGGGTTTCCACATGACGGGTACGGCAAAATGAGGCTTACAACCACGGCATAGATCCAATCTTCTCCTGCAGGAATGGGATGGAACATAAGTGAGCGCAAGCCACAATCAAATCATGTTTTGGGTGCTATGATCCATTTTGAAAATAAGGGCACTTAGTCCTAAATCAAAGAGGTCGCTTAAGCCTTTTAAAGGGCACTTAGACCCTGAAGGTTGCCCTCCCCAGCAGATCCCTCCTCAGTCCGGGCGCAGCGACACGTGAATGCGAATGACACTCACACGGGGGCGGGACCGACGCTGGGCAAATCGAGCCGCAGCGACACGCAAATGACACTCACGCAGGGGGGACCGACACTAGCGTAAGTGACCTTTTCAAGGGGTAAGTGACCTCGATTCGCACCCCAATGACACTCAAATGACACGCTTTGACACTCAAAACGCCATGTTCGGGCTTTCCGGGTCGGCGCCAATCAAATGTGGCAGTTGTCACGCTTCGACACGGGTGGCTCTTCGATTTCAACAGAATCCCAACCCCTATCAAGCCAAAAGGGGCACTTAGCAAACGAATCAACAGGGCACTTAGGCCACCGACACTGCCTTAAGTGCCCTCGATTCAAAAACAGGCCAAGTGCCCTCCATTGGAGGGCACTAAAAATATGCTGGAGTTGTCATTTTCTCAGGGTGCGCAATCCAAAGGTATTTCTCATTTATATAATTGGGCACTGCCTTTCCTCGGATTTGTTGTGTGCCAACTTGAGAGCCAATACATCGTAAGGAGAAGCTTGGCCTAAGACACGGCCATACACAGGGGTCCATTGTTTGGCCCCAAGGCAGACTTAAACCCGGGTGGGTGGCTGATTTCGAACCAACTGCTGGCAGGTCTGCCGGATCAAAAGATGGAACCCTGCCACATCCTACGGAGAGAGAGAGAATGGGAACCTTTCAACCGCCGGTTTTGAGAAGATTCTCAGAGTCTTTTGCCGAAACTACACGCGCGGGGCCTTACGTATTATTGGGTGGACTCCTTCCTTTTTCTTGGCTGCCCTGAGCGGTATGGCTGTTTGATCAACCTTTCGCGTCTTTGATTGACTGGTTTTGCGACAAACAACAGAAATGTCCTCTTCGGATTAATTTGAAGGACCTTACTTATCAGGGGTGGCTGCCATGTAGTAAGGTCGTGATCCATTTGTTTGGGGGTTCCTTTGATTAGTAGGGGATCTCCGCATGATCAATCCGAGGTTGATATTGTCATATTGTGTTTTCTGGTCAACCGACTCAAATGAACACACCCAGAGTCTCCATGGCCCTTAAACCATGGGGTCATGACCCCTTGCTTTTGAATTTTCACAAACCATTTTCCAAAGGGTCACGGATACATCAGGTACTTAATTGTTCTTTCAGTTTCTACTACTTAAAATTGTTGCTTTCACCAATCAGATCCAATTTGGGCTTTCTGAGAGTCACTGATCCCCCTATTTTTTGTCGGGATCAGGGTTCTGTAGGGGGGTCGCCCGGTTCACGCATTTCGGGGATTGTTTTGCGAGATCGGGTAGAGCGAAGCGCCATTATCCATGTAGGTCCTTCACTTGAGTTATTTTCTGGGCCTGCGGCCTCTAGCCGGCTACGCCTCTTTCAAGTTATACCATGTCATATCATGTTTTTTGCATGAGAAACGTAGCGTGTGCTATGATATGGCTTGTTGGGTTACGCATGTTGCCCACCTTAACCCCAGATAATGCCGGGGATGCCGGCTTTCTGGGCCCCATCCGGGCCCCAATCCAGAAGGCTGACATGGGGTCGCGCGCGCGCGCGCCAGAGGACCCAAAAAAAGCAGCCCAAAAAGAGCAGCCCGCAAGCCAGGCCGGAAACGCAAATGCAACAAAACACCGTAAATAGCAGCGTTTTGTGGCTAGGGTCGCGCGCGCGCACGCCAGATGGCCCGAAAACCAACGCCAGAAGGCCCTTCATCGCCGGAATGCCCGGCAGCGCTTCGCGCCAAAATGCGCAAAAATGAGCCTTGCTTATACCCCTCCGATACCTACTTAAAAACAGTGCTTTTTGGGTGGAGAGGCTTTTTGGAAGGAAGTCTTGATGATGCAGACCAAGCCCCGCTGAAGCATCACCCAGGCCCAACCCCAGACCCTGACGATGTCAGCCACATGTCACGTGTCCAGATCCATGTGATCAAGCAAAGTGTACGAATGAACAGTCAGGAAAATTGACGAGCCGCGCAGGGCGGGTTTGCTTTTCCATGGCAGGGCCCGCATGAAGGTTGTGCGTTTCCGAGGATTTATTTGGGGTTCGGTTTAATCAATAGCCCCCGCTATTTCCTGGCACTGCCATGGAGAGGGTGTTTTTGGTTTCCCTTTGAAAGGTAAAAGAGGAAGCCTTTAATGGGGGTGTTTACTAATTGTGCACTGACAGTCGTCCGGATCATTCTTCTGGCAGCGCGGGGTGCTGCTTTCTGAATCTACCTCTTGCGCAAGCAGTCGATAATATTACCTGGGTGATGCTATTGGAGGGTAGGATTTTTTTTGCGGTCCCACAATCAGCTGCTAATGTGTCACGGTTTCCTGCATGCCCTATGTCGATAGAACTACGTTCTTTGTTCCCGGGGATGATATTGAAGAATGGGGCGTAAACTGCGTGTTCGAGCGGCAAAAAAAAGCGAGCAAAGAAATAGGTATCAATGGAAGGTCCAGGCATGTGTGCGTCATGCGTTGAAGGGTTTAGAGGTTCCAGGTACGGATTAGACTTCCGTTATTGATTCCAGCGGCCACGCAGATTTTTTGGGGCGTCTTTTTCGTCGTTGTAGCTTGGAGCGGCTAGGTAGTGATGCCGGTGTGCTTCGTCATGGATTAAGTGGCTTTCTCATGGCAGGGCCAATAGGCATGAATCTGGAAGTGGCAAGCCATAGCTTGCATTGCTACTCACATCATGGCGGTTGACTTCAGAGCAGTAGCAGCGACTGCCGACTGTTCCGTCGATTCCAGCGACTGCCATCCAGAGTCCCAACTAATGCAACCGGCCTGCTTGGCGATGGAAAAACGCAACTCAGGGCACGTGCTGGTTGCACCATCCGTAGTTTAGAGCCACTTTCCACTCAAGGGTGAGTGTAGATCAGCCACAATCAACATCAGGGTAGTTGAAGCTGAGTAGGGAGGTAATCCCCATCGTAGACAGAGATTCAGGAGGGTGGCCTCCCCGAAATGGGGGGCTCATTTTTTGTCCATGCATCCCAGAATGCAGTGTCTAAATGAGTCCCCCCGTTTGGGCGACAGGGCGCGTTTGGCTGGCAATGTGTAGGGGGGCCAGGCTTAGATTCAGAAGGGTGGCCTCCCCGAAATGGGGGCTCATTTTTTGTCCATGCATTCCAGAATGCGGTGTCTAAATGAGTCCTTCTTTTTTGGGGGACCTTTTTTGCCTTGCTGGGATTTCGTGCGACAAGGTCTCGCATGGTGCCCGCATACTCCATTTTACTGTTGACTTAGCACACTCAAAACATACACTGGTCTGTTTCATTCCGCATCTTAGTCGCGACACTCCGCGCTCAAACCGGTTGAGCCAACGAGCTACAACAT